TTAAGATGTTCAGCAGAAATATTATCTAGGCTACTAGCTTTATTTTGAGGCAATTTACTTATAGCATGATCCACCTCACGTGACATAATCACTATTGGATCATTAACTTGAATATCATCCACATTATACAATTCATTTCGGATGCAATTAAAAAGACTACAATAATGCTGTCTCCATAATTCTGCAATATTCTCTGCCCCAGAAACTCCATCTAAGGTACAAGGAAGAGATACTCTACATCTATTAAAAGTTCTGACTTCTTTCCAAAAAAATATGTGATATTATGATTTAGCAGCTTCATAGCCATAGAATCAGTCCTTAAGGTTTGCTCATTTTTACAGATAAAGCGAATAGCATACTTATATCTTGCATTTGTAGACTTCTTATACTCAAGCTCAGGCCCTTGCCTGGGTCTACCTGCTATAACACATAATTTAAAAGCCTCCCAGGCTTCAGCCTGATATCCAGCTACATATTTACTCCAGCCAGGCCTTGTCTTATTCATTATACCCTTCGATTTAAAAAATGGCTTACTACAACCATGCAGGGCATTAACTATATCATTATACATTGAGCAGATATCCCTCTGATGATTTGCATCTTTACAGTTAACATCACTACACATCATTGCATCCCTAGGTAAATGAATATTACTCAGACATCTATCTGTATTTACATAACAGACTAAAAGGTCCTCCTTTGTAAGTGCTGACCAATCCATTTTTGCTGCATTGATATTATTTTCATTATTAGACATCGCTACAAGAAACTCAACATTTATCACCATAGACACAGGTATGTGATCAGTTGTTTCTGTATCATATAAGATACTCATACCCTTCAGCGAGGCATGTGCATCTGCTCTACTAATACAATGGTCCAACCATGATGTTGTGTTCCAAGCCTCACTAACATAGGTATAGCTATCTACAGGCAAACACACTTCACTTGACAAAATGAGATTATTATCTTGGCAAAACTGGACAATATGACTGGAAAATAATGCATTTCTGAAGGTGCTATGTTAAACAATGTGCATCAAGCGTTTGTCTACAAAATCAGAAGTAACTTACCTCGACAGAAATCCACACATCTCTGAAACGAGCATTCAGCATTTCTCCAGATGCATTTCACAAGCAGCTGCTCATATGTTCAGCTGTGAAATTGGGTTACATTTTAAAGTCAATCCGACTGCGCGCGCTCCACGACCCTGAGGACGCACATCAGTGGAAGAGAGAGCGATAGCGAGTGTGAATTCAAGAAGAGGAGCAGATCACTCTGTTTGAGGAGTTACAGGGATATTCTGTGTTCTTGGGGCTTCACACACTCTTGGCTTTAATATGACTGTTCTACACCTGTGTTTATTCGCGACTTTTTGGAGAGCTGTAAGTAGGCTATTTATTGTTAAACATTTGCTACGTATTTAATTTGTACAAGTGACCATTATGTAAAACTAGTTCTGTCAGAACGAACAGAACTTGTACCGTCGTTTTTAATGTCTTGCTCAGTTTTCTGCAAACGGTTACTGAGTTGCGCGCATCTGTAAAAATACATTTCAGACGCTTATGCTAATATTGCCACGAATGCGTCTCTTGTAAAAAAATCCTAAAGGAATCATATTGACATTTTTATCATGACGTTAAACGTAGAATTCTGACAAAAACCGCATCCTTTCTTTTCCACTAGAGATAGAATAAAAAGAAAACTGTACCAACCGTCTGATTCCTATTTCAGCCCATTACACTTAATTTGAACCGACTGATTTCATATAATAATAGAAAAATGTTTAAGTCATATTGGGCAATAGAGATGAGAAGCATATGACTTTTTGAAATCTGTTTACAACTGCGGATTACTTTAAAAAGCTGATGAGCCAAGTCACCCACTAATTTAAACAACTTTTAATCTAGTCTGTATATTATGCGTATTAATGTGCATATGGATTCATATTTTTTCCCCCATCAGGTGCATGCTATCCATCCGGACTGTGCTATTATCTCCCAGTTTATACAAGACCAAGAGTTCTGCATCCAGACTAGGAAGAGAGAGATCAAGAATCAGTCCCAACAAACAGGTTGTGGCAACATTATCATACACACACACTGTATATGGTTCTTGTGGCTGGACAGGTGGGGAGTTCATTGGTTGGCAGCTGATGTGTTCATGCTCAGCTTGACCTTAACTAAAGATGATTATGTGTGTTTGCCATGCGGAAATCTTAACCGTGTTACTGTAATAAAATATAGTCAAGGACAGGAAGGAAATGGTCTTCTGAGCAGACCTACAGCATTTACCCACATTAAAACTGTGGTGCTCAAATGGTTTTGTTAGAGGAAACAGATTTATAAGTGCTTTCTTCTCCATTTTCCCAGCCAGTATGAGGTTCGTTCCATTTTGTTTTTCTTGTTGTTTCCAACTCGTTTCAGATCAGACCTTACATTTCTGGATCACGGCTCTTTTTTTTTATTTACTGTTTTACAGAAATACTTCACCCCAAAATGAAAATTTGCTTAAAACCCCCAGGCTATCCAAGATGTAGATGAGTTTGTTTTTTCATGGGAACAGATTTAAGAGAAATTTAGCATTACATAACCTGCTCACCAATGGATCCTCTGCAGTGAATGGGTGCCGTCAGAATGAGAGTCCAAAAAGAGTCCGTGAATTAATGTCCTGTGATGTGGAAAGCTGCATATTCGTAAGAAATAAATCCATCATTAGGGCATTTTAACTTTAAACCGTCTTTTCTGGCCAAAATCCATCGTCTTTCCCCCATTGTATTTGTTTAGAACATTTTGGAATTGTCTTCATTGTAAACAGTAGCCAGAAGAGGATGAGAAAATTGTCAGCAAATTGTAATTTTTTGTGTAAACTATTCCTCTAAGAGAGAGCAATTATTTTGTGTCATGTTAATAGATTATTACAGTATTTTCTTTTATAATGTATAACTGTTGAATAAATGACAGACAGTCTGGGAATAGCTAAGCACTGTGGGAAATATCCCCACAAACGCTCTTTAGTGCAGTCAAGCATACTCTCTGAAGTGACTTGCAGAGTTATTATTAATCTGAAATGAGTTTTGATTGGGGTTCTGATTGCGTTCCTCCCTAAGACTTGTTTAAGTTCCATGAATAGAATTTTGTTGAATGAAACTCGCACAGCCAGACGGTTCAACCCACGGGACAGATGATAATGATGTTTTTACGTGGCAGCTTGAATCTCCGGAGGTCTGTGTTCCTGCTTGACAATGTGTGAGTGGAAAAGGAGATTGTGTAAAGAATTGCCGTTTTCTGCAGTATGTGTTCAGATATGATTTATTTGAGCTTTCCTATTTAGTCAAGCTAAAATTGAGCAATATTGTTATGCTAGTTACGGAATCCATGCTGGTTTATAGGACATTTTCCGTTCTCTGTTTGAATTCAAACAAAAATCAGCAGAACAGGGAAGCTTCACTGCAGAATGATTTGAAGAGAAGTGATTTGAAGGATAACAATTTAATCAAATTAATTACATAAATTACCAATTAGTTAATCAAATGAATCACTTTTGTGCATTTTGTACATCAACATTTGCAGGGGAAAAAAATCCCAAATAAGTCCTTAGGGGCTATACACATGACACGTTCTTGTATTCGGTCTGTAGCATTTTTAAATAACTGATCCATGTACACAGACTGTCTGTCTGACAGCCTTTGAAAGGACATGCTTTCCTCTCAGCAGTGGCATACAGGAACAAAGCTGTCTATGTCTATAAGGCAATATGCAGTACTCTCTTAAAAAATAAAACTTACAAACAGGGTTTTCCAGCCAGATGAGTCATAAAAGAACCTTTATAAGATTGTATAATGATATAGCCAGGAGGGATGCATTTTACCTTCTTTAACAAATAGTACAGTGACCAAAAAAAAAGAAAAAGAAAAATCAATACGAAGGTAACTAAAGATATTTTTAATAAATAAAAATAATAAAATTATATTATAATAATAAATAAAACTGTTTAAAAATGTAAAGCAAGCAAACAAACAAATAAATACATCTATTAGGCTTTAAAGGAACACTCCACTATCTTTGAAAATAGGTTCATTTTCCAACTCCCCTAGAGTTAAACAGTTGAGTTTTACCGTTTTCAAATCCATTCAGCCGCTCTCCGGGTCTGGCGGTAGCACTTTTAGCTGTAGCTTAGCATAGATCATTGAATCGGATTAGACCGTTAGCATCTCGCTCAAAAATGACCAAAGATTTTCTATATTTTTCCTATTTAAAACATGACTCTTCTGTAGTTACATCGTGTACTAAGACCGATGGAAAATGAAAAGTTGCGATTTTCTAGGCCGATATGGCTAGGAACTATACTCTCATTCCAGCGTAATAATCAAGGAACTTTGCTGCCGTTTTCAGGCGCTGCGTAATATCATTGCGCCTGCTGCACCCATGGTACGGCAGCAAAGTTCCTTGATTATTACTAACGGTCTAATTAGAGTCAATGATCTATGCTAAGCTACAGCAAAATGTGCTACCACCAGACCCGGAGATCGGCTGAATGGATTAGAAAACGGTAAAACTCAACTGTTTAACTGAGCCTATTTTCAAAAATAGTGGAGTGTTTCTTTAGGGTTTGGCTGTTTAGCATGACCCCAGTAGCCCCTGCTGGTAGAATATGAAAGTGAAAGTGTAGTGACATATGGCGTCCCATACTCAGAATTTGTGCTCTGCATTTAACCCATCCAAGTGCACACACACCATGAACACACACCCAGAGCAGTGGGCAGGCAATGCTGCAGTGCCTGTGGAGCAGTTGGGGGTTCAGTGCCTTGCTCAAGGGTCTCACCTCAGTCATGGTATTGAAGGTGGGAGAAAGCACTGGTTATTCACTCCCCCCACCTACAATCCCTGCCAGACCTGAGACCCAAACCCACGACCTTCAGGTTACAAGTCCAACTCTCTATCCATTAGGCCATGACTGCCCAGAAACATGAAAAAAATATGAAATAGACACATTTTTCCTATCTGCTGATTCACATTGCAGCTCAGATAAAAATGGCCTCATTAATTTCAGAAAGCATCTTCTAAATACTATCCATCAACATTCATATCTGCAATTTTTTTTAAATCTTCTGAAAACTTGCAACTGCACAAACTGTATTCATGAGTAAATTTGCAATGCAGTCATGCCCTGAATTTTTTTTTTTACCTTATGTTTTTTTTCCTCAAAGTATTGTCACACTCCCAAACTGAGTGTTAAAAATGAATGATGCTATAAATAACTGTAGGCATGTAGGTCATTCTGCAGCAGAGGTCTTGAGTGTCTTAAAGACGCTGATATAGTATAACCTTTCCCATTCTTCATTGCTCGACTTTATTGTTCCAGATTTACATAATTTTAATAGACTGGAATTTGTATTACATTAATGCTTGCACATATTGACTAATATTGCTTAGTGACATTTCAAAAGTGGTTGCATGACTAACTCTGGAATATTTAGTGACATCATAAGGGCACTGATAGTTGTCAAAAAGTTGCATTGTGTGCTGGAGCCTATATGTGCTGGAATTAATGTTTTACATGGACGAGCAGTGGAATGCTAACGCTTTCCTGCACAGCGTGACAAAAGACATTTGGATAAACTGTAAATGAACCCCCTGTCCATTAGATAATATCCATATGAACCAGTGCAGAACATATATTGTTGACAGTGTCATGACAGCTCCTCTGTGGTTTCTGGCTCAGGATGTGGGACGGATTGGGACGGGATCCGCTGCTGGCGGACAGCCAATACTGGACAACTCTTTAATGTGTCCTGTTCAGATGTCTTCCAGCACATCTCCAACACTCAAGGTCAGTTCTATCTATCTATCTATCTATCTATCTATCTATCTATCTATCTATCTATCTATCTATCTATCTATCTATCTATCTATCTATCTATCTATCTATCCATCCCACCAACCAACCATATATATCCACCCATCCATACCTATATCTGTTCATCCATCCATATAGCTAATCATCCCTTTATCATTGATCTAACCATATATATCCATTCATCGACCCATCCTCCTCTATATCCACCCATGCTTGCATCCACCCATCCATTGTCATCCATCCAACTATATCTATCTATCTATCTATCTATCTATCTATCTATCTATCTATCTACCTATCTATCTACCCACCCATCCCTATATCCGTCCATCCATCCATCAATATATCCAACATTCATCTATCTTTGATCTAACCATACATCCATCCATCTATCCATCCACCCATTCATCCCTATATCCACATGTCCTTGCATACATCCATTCATATATCCATTATCATTCATCCATCCATCCATCTATATAGCCACCCATCCATCCATCTATCATCCACTTACACATCCTTACACTCTAAAAACTGCTGGGTTAAAAACAACCCAATTTGGGTTATTTTGGTAACCCAGCGCTGGGTTGTTTTAACCCAACAAGTTGGGTTATATGTTTGACCCAGCATGCTGGGTTGATTTTTTATGGTTTAAAATTACTACACTGCTAGGCTAAAATGAACCCAAATCGAGCTAGACATTAAACCTACAAATCTAGTTAATTTTAAAATCACTTTTACACACACAGAATGACTATCAAAACGTAAATATTTATTTAAAACAAGAGAAAACAGTCAAAAGTAACATGCATGTAAGAAGAAATGCAGAAAAGTATGGCATTAACAGCTACAGAGTTTATAAATGAAGCATTGAACATTTGTTGAACATAACTTTTAAGATCAAATTCGACTTTTTTTGTTAAATTGTATATATTGTATAAAAATATTATACAAAAACACTATTATACAATAGTCGTACAATTAGTTAATAGTTAAGTTCTTTACAAACTATTCTGGCATGACAGTAAATAAACCACAACATTAACACTGATATTATAACATTTATCAGAAACATATGTGTGAAAGAATGTGAGCATGTGTATGAATGACAGAGTGTAAACTCCATTTCTACTAAACAACAACACAGAACAAGCGTTTAACATTTTGTTTTTACAAATTATACACTTACAGTTTGTTTCATAGTCCATGAATACAGATCAGGCATGGCTGCCAATTTTCTTGATCTCTTTAGGATAATTGATGTAGTCATGAAGAAGCCTCATCAGCACAGCAAAGGCATGTGACATCTTTTACATTATCCAGGGCAGCCTCCTCCTTTAAAACCACTGTTGCATCAGTTTGGGAGAAGGACATTCTCCTCTCTGTCTACCACAGCGCTCTAGAATGCTATAATGGCAGCACTAGTGTGAGGGCATGTAATATTGTTTAAATAAATATATTGCTTTCAGAAAGCTACTTTACTGAAACATTAAAACAGACATGACATTCACATACCTCACAAATTTTCATGTACGTGGAGGGCTGCTCTTTAAAGGGTTATTTCACCAAAAAATTAAAATGGTCATAATTTATTCTCCCTCGTGTTGTTCCAAACCCATACAAACTCTGCTAATTTTTGGAACACACATAAATATATTTAATATTCTCTTAATTTTTGTCCTCCATTGCAAGTCTGGGAGACCAGTATTTTTCTTCTGAACAGACATGTTCGCTATGATATAATTGAAGATTTATTCATATATAAATATTGGCATGGATTACATGTACAATAACTCTGTATTTTTGAAACTTGAAAATACTGATTATCTAGAAACATAAAATATGAACACGTAATCATCATAATGTTGTTGCATCAAAATGTGAAGTAAACAGGCAGGAGATAATGGAAACATTTATTTTCTAAAAATAACTCACATCAATCTCAAAAGAATGATGCTCTCCTATGTCTCACTTCATCAGCCTTAAAATAATAAGGCTAGTCTTTATTACATAACGCCGTTTCCTTTAGGAAACTACATTCAATTTAACCGCGAAAAATAAGATAACGAATTAACATGTAAATATGTTAATTACCCTCTCTTAACACCTCAAAAAATTTAAATATTGTAAAATCTTATGTAAATATGACATGACACTCACTGACGTTCCTCTTCCGTTCAGTAAAAGAGTAAAAAATTAAGAATTAAAAATTAAAAATTTCTGAGGCGAAATCCGCGTCCGCGTATTTTTCAATATAAGCTATTTTTTTTTATATTTCTGCCTTCCATGAAATCTCAAAATACTACTGGACTCAAACAATGAATGATGACTTTACATTTTTAATCTTTACTTGCCATAAACCGTCTTTCACTCGCACTCACTTCCATCTGAAGACACTGAGAAAATAGCGGCTTCTCGCACTGGTATCGTCCGATGTTAACGTGACGTGCGCGCTCTCTTTCACGTCCGCATTCCCAACCCAGTGCCGCTGGGTTATAGTTCAAGACCAATTTTGAACCCAAATTGGGTTAAAACAACCCAGCATCCTTACCCAGCGGTCTCAACCCAGCATTTGGGTTGAAAAAACAACCCAGCGTTTTTTAGAGTGTATATTCATCCAACCATCCATATATCCAACCATCCATCTATATACCCACTCATCCATCCCTGTCCCTGTCTCTCTCTTTCTCTCGCTCTCTGTTTTTTTAGCCTCATTATCATTGCTGTCTTTAATATCCGGCTGCTGTGACGGAGCTTCAGGCTCATGTCTGGTGAAAGGTTTGTCAAACAGCAGCAGATAAGTTGTTTCTTGAGGGCTGGTGTGCAGTAACCGTGGCTGAAAACTGTCACACTTCTAGTTTACAGTTAGGGGTGGTAATATTGTGTGGGTCAGTAGTCTTTACAGTCACAGGGCTGTGATTCTGCTGAATGTTTCAATATGCAGACAGAAAGTCGCAGAGCCCTAGAGATATTGGGATTCAGCTTGCACTGAGATGACCTGTATATATGTATGCACTCAAGAATGGATTTTTGCAGTAGGCTAAATTGTGTTAATTAAATTTGCTAATGCATCACAACTTTGAGCTTTTTCCACAGCTTAATTTCATGGCATGCAAGCAATTTAAATTCATGAAGTGTAAATTTACTTAATCCATTTCCACTGGGAATACATGAATAATTTTCAGTTTATTATTTTTCAGAATTAAATGTTTGTAAAAAGCCAAAAATTCAAAATGACCAGAGTTTGAACCCAGCTTGGTCCTTTACATTTTCATTCTGTGTTGAAGGCATAAAATGAAATTGTTCACACAATGCATAATCATAATCATGATTCAATTCAGACTGCAAACTCGGGGAAAATATAACTTTTCACCACGCTATAGATTCAGCAGCGGTGTTGCGGTGGCACTGAGAAGCTGTGAAGGAAACATGAGCAATCTTTGGATTTGAAAATCGATATTGACGTCAAATGAAGATTGCAGTTAATGTTAAAATATCTACGCAGTTCCTTATATAAGACTGGCCTTTAACTTGCTTCTTTTGCTGCTTCTCATTCCTGCTTCCTTTAATGGTGCACTGTTTCATAAAAAAAAACATCTTTGTGATGTTTTTAGATATACGATTGTCTCCCCGGCAACAAAAAGGGAAAGTATTTTTATAATCCATACAGTTTCATCAAAATTGTCTTACAAAAATAAATTGTAACATCTGTGACTGCCCATAAAAACTAAACATCAGACAGTAACATGAAATGTTGGATTAATCTAGACTTTTAAATCCTATGATTTTAAATCCTTTGGAAGTGCTTACAGGTCAGAATGCTCAGATGTCAGTAGATACTTACTGTTCCAATAAAGGGTATGCATTGACGTCACTTTCCCACCAGAACACGCCCCCAAATGACATTTAATTTTGATGCAAAGTTGTGAGAGATGCACACAGCTGTACACATACAACATATAACAGTTGTCCAAATCTAAATTAACACATTGTGAAAAGCTATTGACGTATGAATTGATATTTAATTCACTATGAAATAAACCATAGTATGAAATTAATCATAATCATGAAATGAATTCACTATATTTAATTCATTATGAAAAGCAGTGTTTGTAAGAGCATTCCAAAATGCATATGTACTGTATGTATGCATGTGTGTGTGTATATGTACAGTGGGGAAAAAAAGTATTTAGTCAGCCACCAATTGTGCAAGTTCTCCCACTTAAAAAGATGAGAGAGGCCTGTAATTTTCATCATAGGTATACCTCAACTATGAGAGACAAAATGAGAAAAAAAAATCCAGAAAATCACATTGTAGGATTTGTAAAGAATTTATTTGCAAATTATGGTGGAAAATAAGTATTTGGTCAATAACAAAATTTCATCTCAATACTTTGTTATATACCCTTTGTTGGCAATGACAGAGGTCAAACGTTTTCTGTAAGTCTTCACAAGGTTTTCACACACTGTTGCTGGTATTTTGGCCCATTCCTCCATGCAGATCTCCTCTAGAGCAGTAATGTTTTGGGGCTGTCGCTGGGCAACAAATTGAGATTCTATATTAAAACTTTTTATATAAGAAGTTATATAAAACATTTTTGAGATTTTCAACTCCCTCCAAAGATTTTCTATGGGGTTGAGATCTGTAATCCTACCTAATATTACGTTTTTAAATATACTTTTATATTGCAATAATTTCACATTCAATCTCCAAATGAATGTACAAACAACATAAAGACAGTATAATTTTTTATATTTGTTTAATGGCATCTTTTTTTATGACTGAAGGCCAGTCTCAATGATACTAATATAAAATTGCCCCCCCCCCCCATACCAATATAAAATTGCCCCCCCCCCCCTAATATTTAACCATTGACTATTCAACATGACTAGCCATTCAACATTACAGTATAATTCGGAGCTTTCAATTTGAATATTTATTAGACTTTAAAAAATACTTCTAATTTAAGTTAACTTAAAACAATCTTCACATTAACTCATAATAAACCCAACTCTTTTTACCTTTTGGGTTAGTTCACCCAAAAATGAAAATTAGCCCATAAATTACTCACCCTCAAGTCATCCTAGGTGTATATGACTTTCTTCTTTCAGATGAATCCAGTCGGAGTTATATTAAAAATTGTCTTTGATCTTTCAAGCTGTTTAATGCCACTCAGTGGGTGTTGCATGCATCAGTCCAAAAGAAGTTAAATAAAATGTGCCCATCCATAAAAAAAAGTGTCTCACATGGCTCCGGTCTCCTCTTGGCTTATATCGAAATTCTCCGACATTCTTCTTTACAAATCCTCGTTTTGTACTTCTAATTCTTGACCGTTGTTTTGTTTTGATTTCTTCTGCGTGCGTCCCTTCTGAGCGGCGCATGCGCAGTGCCGACCTCATACGTCATTCGCCCGGAACTGCTTCCAGTGTACAACAGTGAGCGCAAGCTAGATTAAAGTGATTATTACGTTTTGAATATGGATATTTTTCTTACAAAAACGCATCGATTCGCTACAGGAGGCCTTTGTTAACCCCCCCTGGAGCCGTGTGAGACACTTTTTTTATGGACGGGTGCTTTTAATTTAACTTGTTTTGGATTGAAGCATGCAACACTTGCTGAGTGCCATGAAACAGCTTGAAAGAACAAAGACAATATTTAATATAACTCAGATTGGATCCGTCTGCAAGAAGAAAGTCATATACACCTAGGATGACTTGAGGGTGAGTAATTTATGGGCTAATTTTCATTTTTGGGTGAACTAACCCTTTAAGTAGCTTGTTTTTATGGTAGGGTACAAAATTGTTTTAAAACACTATTAAGCCTTTGGAAACTATAACACTTAATCCGCTTGAGCTGTTACACATGCGTAAGTTTAGCCCATGCATGTGCTGACCTTGAGAAGCAAATATGGCCTCTGACAAAATGATAAATCTTCATTTCCTTTTTAGGTGGATCAGGTACAACATCAGTGCGAATGTCATGTGTGCAATCAGGGCAACGGGGGCGGTAGCGCCTCCGGCCTGAACTCCACCTGTCTGCCTACCACCAGGCTGCATGCGGGGGGTCACCATTTCTTCTCAGAGAAGACGGCCACTACTAAATATATATGAGCCTTATAAGCTTTATTTACCTTATTTGTTGAAAGTCATTTAGTAAGAGTTGTAGCTGTTGGTCAGACTCTCTCACACTGCCGCTGAGGTTAAAGCAGGTGACTTATGCACTTATGAAGGCTGAAGTAGGACACCTGTTCTGTTCTGCCACAGGAAATGCATCCAGCAGCAGGTTTTGTCCCAGCTCTAGTGCTCATGTCTTTCCCTAAGTATTCTCCAGGCGTCTGTGGGTATTTTTGGAAGTGTTATGAAGTGGGAATTGTGCTTACTGCTCTCTGAAATGTGGGCTGATCAGCTGGAATCTGTAACAACTGATAAACTTGAGACATATTTGGCACTCAAGCGTATGTGAGATTTTAATGACTGCTCATTATGTGATCAGGACAAAAGCCCTTTTACTGATTTTTAGATGCAGTAGAGTTCGGTGAAATTTTAGAAAGCTCTTCAGGGACAAATGTTGCAGTTTTGTCATCTTAAAACCATATGCTTTGCTGTTTATTCGGCAGGTTTTATATACAGGAACTGCACGTCTAACGGCTGGAGTGACCCATATCCGCCGTACGAGGAAGCCTGTGCATTTGAAGATGATTCAGAATCTGGGACTGTGGTAAATAATTTCCCATAATGCATACATATTTGACAGTAATGCCCATATTTCAATCAATATTACTTGTGCAGAAAGGCTCAGTTTGATGAATGGCTTCCAGTGTATTTACAGTAGTGTGTACTTGAGCCTCCCATGATGTCCACTAGTGGTCCCTGTTTTGTTTCTGCGTCATGCTTTGGCTTTAACTGTTCTTTGATTAAGTCAAGAAAGGCTGTTTAGGATTAAAAATCTAATCAGGTCATTGACCTCTATGTTCCTGCTGAAATAAAAAACAAGAATTAAAGAATATATGTTTAAGTATTTTTTGGCTTTAAAGAACTGGAAGAGTTTTACTATAGTTCGTTTTAATCCAAAGATATTAGATATTGACATATAATGAAATATAAATAAATAAATATAAATATTAAAATATAATGAATTTTAAATATAAAATATAAAATGCTTGACATAGGGATGTTAGGGATGTTAACTACTTTTCTCTCAGACTTTTATTTTATTTTTTTCAGACAACTTACTTGTCAACCTTGAAACAGCTGTACACTGCTGGATATGCAACATCACTTATATCGCTTATTACTGCCGTTATCATATTCACATGCTTCAGGTAAAGCTCTGTCACACTTATATATACTGGCCAGCATCATATTTGCTGAATGAAATCCATATGATTTTATAGCATTCGACAACCATTTGTAAGATGAATAAATCTTGTATTATCCCTTAATCAGCAGAAAAACTGCCAAAACATGATTTCTCTTGCTTTGAGCCAGTTGCCACTATTTGTTTAATTCTCAGCTGATTTTAGCATACGTGACATTATTTTATGCCTAAACCTGATGTCAAATGTTAATGTCATTAAATGTCAAAATGTATTTGAACATATTTTTCTGATCCTCTGCAGATTGTAAGTTAAATGATACATTTTGAATACTTCTTTTTGTTATTTTGTCATTTGGCTGCTTTTGATATTTTGAGAAGTGCATTAAAGCCGATACATATTTTTTGCAAATCAGCTGAATTTTCTTTTTCGAAATGCACAGCTGTGTGATAATGATATCAAAATGCAATCATGATACACAAAATGCATAACAAAGAGAATCAGAAAGGGTGAATGAAAACATCTGCATATTCAGTAGGCAATCTACAGTATAAGAATATATTATGTTTATAAATACCCATGATGCTCTGTCATTACAGGAAGTTCCACTGCACCAGAAACTACATACACATCAATCTTTTTGTTTCCTTCATCTTGCGGGCAAGCGCAGTCTTCATCAAAGATGCCGTTCTGTTCTCAGATGAAACTCAGGATCACTGTTTAATGTCCACGGTGAGTGAGAGCGTCTGTATACAGAATTTCGCCTCATTTGTAAGTCGCTCTGGATAAAAGCATCTGCTAAATGAATACATGTAAATTTAAGTGTCATTTCACTGTGAAGGACTATTATCCAGAAAAGACCTACCAATCAAAAAATGTTGTGCCATTAAAGGGTTAATTCACCCAAACAGACCTTTGTTCATCTTCGGAACACAAATTAAGATACTTTTGATGAAATCTGAGAGCTCTCTGACCCTCCATAGATAGCAACACAACTGAAATGTTCCCAGCTCCAGAAACGTAGCAAGGACATCGGTAAAACAGTCCATGTGACATCAGTGGCCCAACTTCAATTTTGCGAAGCTACGAGAATACTTTTTTGCGCGCAAAGAAAACAAAAATAACAATTTATTCAACAATTCTTCTCCCCGAGTTACCGTCTTCCTCCATTTTGGAGAGTACCACGACGCAAGTGTGTGCTTTCCCCAGAACGTAATCAACGTAATCAGTGTTGTTTACGCTCAGCATGCGCGCGTTTTCTCCTGAACGTAAACAACGCTAATTACGTTGATTACGTTCTGGGTAAACCGCGCACATGCGTCGTGGTACTCTCCAAAATGGCAGAATTATTCTAAAAGAGTTATTTTTAAAAATAGAAAAAATGACAAAAACACTAATAATTACTACAACGTTAACAAAACATTAAAATGAAAACATATCAAATCTAGAAATAAAAACAAATTCAAAATATTTATAAAAATACTAAAATAACGCTGCTTCCGGTGCAGGTTATGATTGTGCTCTTATTCTGTATCTGTACCTGTGTGTGTTTTGTTTTTCACAGGTGGCGTGCAAAACTGCTGTAACGTTCTTCCAGTTCTGCATCCTCACTAATTACTTCTGGCTGCTGGTGGAAGGCTTGTACCTGCAGACGCTCCTCGCCCTCACCTTCGTCTCGCAGAGGAAGTACTTCTGGTGGTACATTCTAATAGGATGGGGTTGGTACACCCTGAAAAACAGATTTCAGGAGAAAGACAGTGTGTGAACCGATTAAAAGATGAACATCGGCAGTCTGCCAAGATTTGAGTACTAGAGCAACTGAGCATACAGATATCAGCATTTGTGTCACACTACTGAGATCTCTTCTAAAAAATGTATTACAGATCTGAGGGTTGTTTTTCTGTGCATTTGGAGAAAGTGAGTATGCATTGTCTGGTTTTTTTGGTAGGTGTCCCATCAGTCGTGCTGATCGTGTGGGTGTTGACCAGACAATTCTATGATAACAGAGGGTATGTCACATCTTACAACATTAAAATTATCTTGAAACTGAACAAAACTGACCCTATTTCTTTTCTTAATGCATATTGTTATTGTATGCATATTAAGCATTTCATCAAATAACATTTGGCTTTTTTTTTTAAGTCCGGCTTGACATATCAGCATTATTTAAGTATCATCTACATACTATTATAGTTTTTATGAAAATTAGATTTTTTTTTATTCTAGTTTTGTTGTGTGTTTTTGTCATGTCTGTTCGTTTTTTTTATGTCTTTATAGTTTTTATAAAGGTTTATGTTTTAGTTTGAGTTATTTTAGTACATCAAGTTAAACTAAATGAAAATGAGAAATGTTGATTTTATTTCTTTAGTAGTTTTAGTTTTTTAAAATAGTTTTATTTTTATTTCAGTGTTAGTTTTAGTTATTTTAGTACATCAAGATAAACATTGCCTTTTTAGTAGTTTTAGTAATTTATGTTGTGTTTTTGTCATTTTTGTTAGTTTTTTAAAATATGGTTCTTATTTTTTATTTCAGGTTTAGCTTGTTATTTCAGTTGAATGAACATAAAAAGTAGTTAAATTTAAATAATTTTAAGTTATTTTTCAGTTAAAGTTTATTTTATTTCATTTCAAGTACTAATTTTTTATGGTTTAAGTTGACTTGCAAATGCAATTTAATGGTATTACAATTAATAACTAATTTATTTAACATATATTTCTCATATTTGCAGATGTTGGGATGACACAGATAATATGAACATCTGGTGGATCATTAAAGGACCAATCACAGTATCCCTGTTTGTGAGTTGTGATGTTATTGCATGTCATATTTTGAGATTGATCAAGTTTAATCACATTTATCAGCAGAAGTTCATCTGAAAACTTACATGAGACTTCCCCTGCTCTTCTGTTAGTAATCATCTTCCTCTCTCTGTCTGTCCGTCTGTCAGGCTAATATCATCATCTTCCTAAATGTGATTCGGATCTTGGTTCAGAAATTAAAAAGTCCTGGAGTTGGAGGCAATGACACAGGTCACTTCATGTGAGTCTAATATTAATGTGCAAGAAGTGCTGAAAAGGTTAAGTGATTTACTGGCCCAAGTTAAAAGAATTGTAGCGCAAATTTAATCTTTATTTGCTACATAGTGAAAGCCAATTCTAAACCCTGCATACAACACACACCAGTTTTGACAAACAGTTTATGTAAGTTATGATTGTTCCAGATGAAACCTGGTTAGTGTAGAATCAGACAGATGGCATGTGTTAATGTGAGTGAAACGCATATATCTTAATTTCTCTGCAATGTCTGTTCATTAGGATACAGTTATACACGCTGCCAGGTCGTGCTTCATGCATGAATAATATTTATTTTGACAGTTCACGCTAGGGTGCATTTTTAGGTTCTTAATACCACCTGATAATGTGATATATATGCAAAGGCGAAGAGAAATTGCATTTAGCCCATTATCAAGAGGCTTATTCGTTTCTGAAAGCACAGATCTGTCTTGCAAATTTGATTCTGTGCCATTTAACTTTATATTGGCTCTGGGCTTGACCTTGATATTTGAGGGATTTTTGCATTAAAATGAAATAATCTTTGTTTTATGCATGTTACAAAAAAGATGATACAGATCTAGCTGTGCTCTGAATTGTTTGTGTGAAGGCATGAATTCTGATTCATGATACATTTTTGATAATCACACAGGAGACTGGCCAAATCCACCTTGTTTCTGATTCCTCTGTTTGGGATGCACTACACTCTGTTTGCCTTCCTGCCAGAAAACACGGGGGAAATAGTCCGGTTTTACATCGAACTCGGTCTGGGCTCTTTCCAGGTACTCATGAATTCATTTCTTTATGTAGAAATGATCTGCTTAGTGTCAGTTTACAGATTCCGTAATGAGGAAATGTCTTATTGTATTCCTGAAAGTCTATTTTTTTTCCCTCCAGGGCTTTGTGGTGGCACTCCTTTACTGTTTTCTCAATGGAGATGTAAGTATTCTCATAATGGAAACATTCAACATGATATTGACAGTTACAGCTACATTTGAACAGTTTTTCCTAAAGAAAATGTGCAAAACTACAAATGCCATGATACTGGATGGATGCAAGGGCATTGCTATGCAATCGTTCTGAGTGTTTTACTATATTTCTTTGTGGTTGCATACTACCCTGGGTCAAATAAAGCACTCTTGAGCAAATCTCTCCTATCACCGAAAGTGCTTTTTTCCCCACCAGGTGAAAATCGAAAGTCTGATCACTTGGAAAAGCAATAAAACACCTCAACAAGCTGCATGATTTGAGGAATTATTCATTGTCCTTATACAAATGGTGTGAAACGAGTTATGCAAAAAACTACAGTATAATATAAAGTTTTATGGGGTTTTAAAAATCCCTAACCGCAAAGGCTAAATCTGAACTGAAATCTGATTTTAAAGGGGTCATATGATGCAGCTAAAAAGAACATTATTTAGTGTATTTGGTGTAATGAAATGTGTTTATGCAGTTTAAGGTTCAAAAAACACATTATTTTCCACATACTGTACATTATTGTTTCTCCTCTATGCCCCGCCTTTCTGAAACGCGTCGATTTTTACAAAGCTCATCGGTCTGAAAAGCGAGGTGTGCTCTGATTGGCCAGCTATTCAGTGTGTTGTGATTAGCCGAATTCCTCAAGCGTGTGACGGAAATGTTACGTCCCTCACCATACTGTGATGCCTGTGGCAACCACATGTGATGACCACGGGCTGGACTCCGCTTCGTCTATGGTGAAAGCCGATCCGGTGATCGACAGCGCGAACTTGAAGTATTTCCTCAGCGACCAGCACGGATCAGCTCTAGGCATGACGAAGCAATATAAGGCCAAACAAAGTAGTTTCGCTTTCACAACGAAGCACACAGCGTCTTCACGACATGGCGGCGGCGGCAACAATACTACAGTGAGACTAAAAGTTACGCCTTCATTCTTTGCGTGAAGATTTGGGCGGCGTTATGCAAATCTTCTCACATAGTGACGTAGATATGTGGGGGTGTGTTAGAACGAGCCGTTTTAGGAGAGCGTGGACAAGTCTTAACTTTTATAAAGAATATCTCTTTGGATTTGAGACTTTAGTCTTTGCAACTTTACAGATCTTCTTTATGCACCAAGAGCTTGTAACACTCCAAAGAGAAAGGAAAAATTGAAATCACATCATATGACTCCTTTAAAACATCACAGAATGCATCATTTTTAGGCAACTTTTTAGTCTAAATGGGTACAAAAACCTGGGAATCAAACACTAACACATACGCACGCAGAAACGCGTATCTCATTGTTACGAGATGCGTGACAAATTAAAACAATAACGCATATCGTCATTCTAAACTAAATTTTTAACCCTGAGCAGCAGAACGGTTTTATACAGAAGCGGGGTCAGCAACACTTTTACCCAAAGATATGAAACCCTGCTCCGGGATTTTGCAGTGCCGAACATTGTATAGCGTGAAAGAATGCAGTGTTGTTAGCTAGATGATGTTATATTAGATGCTTAGCAACAGAAAGCCAATCACGTAGCCTACCTCATATTCATATACATACATACATATCTATGATATTCACGAGTTTTGAACAGTTAGCTAAGGAAACACAGCACGTAGGCCAGTTAGAAAGCTCTAACAGTAGGCCTATTTTTAGCATTTGAGCAGAAAAATGTCAGATGATGACAGAAAACACATAAAGAAAAGACTTTAATTCTTACCTTTATAGTTCAAAAAGTCCAATCAGGAAAAACGTGTCAACAGGATGAACAATGCTAGAGCTGTTAGCTAAACAGATCACGTGCTGCGTTCGTCCAATCATTGACACTGACGCCGCAAATATGCAAATAAGAACGTTAACCCGAGGTTTAGGAATGTGTGGAACGTCACTTTATAAATATCCAGGATTAGCTTTCAACTCCGGGTCAACTATGAGCAGTTTGAAACATGAGGCATGATAATGCAGGATTTCTTTTATCAATTGAATTTACATTTAGCATTAACTATTTCAAGTGTCTAAAGCCCCTGTGTGTTCTAAAATCAGCTCAAAAACATGTTCGATGTCTTCAGACTAGATGGATTTATAGTCTGAAGCTAAAAGAAAACGCAGTCTGTGTCAATCATAACCTAAACTACACTATTTCTTGTTAAATTGGTTATCTGACTCCTCCAAACTGTAATTGGGGAAATCTGGAGAAAAGGTTGTGTAATCAGGCATAAGAATGAACAACACTCTTAGACAAATGGTGCAAAACTTTCACTGTGGCGCTTTCAAAATGTACTAATACAGTAAATACACTTTAGGTACTAATATTTAAATAAGGTACAAAGATGCATCTTTTAGCTTTTCTACCTTAGGGATACTGCGCAAGTTTTTCTGAGAGTATCGCAATCAGTATAACCATTTGATATGAATGTATTGTCAATGAAGTGTGTCTCTTTCTCTTTCAGGTACAGGCGGAGTTGAAGCGCAGGTTATGGACGTGGCAGACCCAGACTCATCTGAGCCCCAGTAAAAAGCGTGGGGTCACCGTTACTCAGATCATGATGCATAAGTCCACTCAATTAACAGACTGCCGTCTGCAAGGGCTACATCACATCTGTGTGAACACACCTGGATGATGCAGGTAGAAAGACTTGCAAAAGGCTTCAGGAGCTTCACGTCCGGCTCTGGAGTGTGGAAGACGTTCAAAGAGGAAATGGGTCATTGTACGGCATTATCAAGGTCAAGTTATGGATTTGGCAGATGTCATTTGAGTTCAGTTTGCATGTGCCGATTTGCAGGTTGCAGAACAACAAGCAGATTGTGACACAGCCAGCGTAAACGAGTGGAGGTTTGATTGGGGCCCATGCAGTAGCAAATGCTTCATTAACATTCTGGTTGTATATTAGATTTGTGGTATGCAAAAGATATGAAATATTAAATCTTTTTTTTCATCCTCATTCCATCCAAGTGCTGAGCTATTTGCCGTAAACTGCAAAGTAACATGATTAATGTTCATCAGTTTGGAGGCTTTTAATTTTAAAGTGATTAATTTGTTATTGCTGATGGTGCTGAGGATGCATCATAAATATACAGGATACAGCTTTGAATTTTCATATGCCATTGCTTTTTATAGCTGCTTTTAACTTAACATTTTTGAACAACTTTGAACATTGATAGAAACTGAATAATATTGCTTCTCCGCAGCATATAAGATGTATTTAAGTGGTACTATGGGATATGAGCTCATTCATCAGTTTGAGTTTCATGGTACAGTATGTACACTGTATGGGGTCACTTTGGGATAGTAAGAATTTTCATGTTTTTGAAGGAAGTTTCTTATTCTCACCCAGGCTGCATTTATTAAATATACAGTGCAGTATAAGCCGTAAATATTATTACAATTTAAAATAAGTGTTTTTATGTGAATATATCTTAAAATGTAATTAATTCCTGTGATGCAAAGCTGAATTTTCAGCATCATTACTCCAGTCTTCAGTGTCAGATGATCCTTCTGAAATCATTCTAACATGCTGATTTGCTGCTCAAGAAGCATTTATTATCAATGTTGAAAATGTTTCAGGAATCGATGAATAGAAAGTTCAAAAGAACAGCATTTGTTTGAAATGGACAATGTCACATTTGATCAATTTAATGCATCCTTGCTGAATTAAAGTTTTGATTTCTTTCAAAAAATAAATAATACAAATCTTACTGACTCTAAACTTTTGAATAGTAGTGTATGCCTGCAGATATTACAGCTGAATACCAATAACAATCAGACTGTAAAATGTATGTAAAATGAAATGCAGGATAGCACTGACTTCTTTTTTTAAAAGGGAATTTTCAACTGTTGTACAAGTTATGTTAGTAACTTGTAAGTTACAGTTTTAACAATGGTATTGTACTGTATATCTGTTATACTAATTAAATTATTTTAACTTTGTACCTCTTTTAGAGATGCCGACAGTTCATTTTTATGTCTCTCTTGACACTGTTTTTGTTATTAAATATTTATTACATCAAATTACAGCTATTTTTAATATGTAATAGTAAATCTCTATATATCTCTCTCACTCAAAGACGACACACACATATAGAAAGAACTACATAAAGAACTACATAAAACAGAAATTCAAGAGTTGTTTGTCAAGAATGGAATTCAGATACGTACAAAAATGTTCACAGGTCAAACATGGACATCATCTCTACATCAAAGCAGAAGAAACAGCAGGCAGCTTTACAGAGCAGCTGAATGCACGATATAGTTGTTGTCTGGGTGTTACATTCAGATTGAAATGAGTTAGTCCACAATATGAAGACATCTCAAAGACACAATGAAACATGTCAGACCTACACGAGAAACACATCAAATCTCCCACTTATCTCCTCGATCCTCAAATATACAGCGCTCAAATAAGCCATACAATCAAATAAAAAGCGTTACCTACTGGCAGGCAGATGTGTTACAAGCACAAGAAAACACGTCTGTAACAGCTTTGAGACATGGTCGTTACCTTCTGAGCTCACACTCAGAATGACGGCTGGTGTCAAGAACATAGAAAGCAGCAAAAACGGTCTCTTTTTTTGTCTTTTTTCATGCAGATATATCTAGAAAGAGCCACAGAGGGAGCTCGGCCCCTCATATATCCAAACACATATGAAGTTGTAAGGTCAAGTGATCCAAGCAACATCTGGCGCTCTCCGTTAGGATTTCACAATTTATTTCTACAGACAAGTTCACTATCACTGAGAGCTTGTTCAAGATCATTAATATTTACAGGTTGAAAAATAAAGACGATAAGAAAAATGAGAAAGCTCAAACAACAAACTTTTTTTTGTCATCAATGGTGAGAATTTAAGTGTTTAATTCCCGCCCCACCGAGCGGATTGGCAAAAATAATGACTCTCCTCGTTTGCCATTGGCCAAAAAAACAGATAGTCCCGCTCCAAACTCTCGCCATTGTTTGAGCTAATGTTGCAGTTCGCGATGCTCAAACCAAACAAGCTTTTAGCACCAAAGAGCCACAGTTTTTTTTTTTTTAGAAAAATCCAGCTACAAATGATTTTATAGTAGTGCTGTCAAACGATTAATCGTGATTAATCGCATACAAAATAAAAGTTTTTGTTTGTATAATATATGTGTGTGTATATTTATTATGTATATATATATATATATAAATACACACACATGCAGTATATATTTTGAAAATATTTACATGTCTATATTTATATTCATATAATTTATATTATAAATAAATATATTTAATATATAAACATTTTTCTGAAATATATACATGCATGTGTGTGTATTTATATATACATAATAAATATACACAGCACACATACATATATTATGCAAACAAAACCTCTTATTTTGGATGCGATTAATCGTGATTAATCGTTTGACAGCACTATTGTATAGTCATTTCTGCAAATTAAGTACAGAACCAGTATTTTACATCAGAAATGTCTGTTTAAAGAAAAACGCAATCCGTCTCAACTAATTGCGCGAGGGGGCAGGGCTATGTTTAATCCGGCCAATGAAAGATGAGGAGCATTCGAAACCTGTCTGTCATTATTTTTGCATTTTCGTTTGGTGATGATGATAGTACCACACAAATTACACACTTCCAACTTCAAAATAACAGCCAAATGAAAAAACGTATACATTTTCCCCACATTTTTTTAAAAAGATCTGTGCGATCTACACGACCAACACTTTACTGTACATTTCAATAATCACCTCAACTCTGCCATGTGATTCACCGACAGCTATGAGCTGCAACAAAAGCATATTGCAATTCAAAATTGGCACGTTTATAATCACAGAAGTTTTACATACATCGTTGGTACTTTATGACCGTAATTGTTGACTAAAGAGAGAGTGCTGGTACATCCATCATTTACGCACATGTGCGTCTTTATCATATACAAAGAATTTACACTCACGGCAGAGAATAATACTGTACTGGAAATAAACAACACTTTTAGCAGAGACTCTTGCCACTTTGCACACTGATGCATGTTATTTTCGCGATCAAACATGTAAAATGTGAGTGATGATAACTAATTATGATTGTCAGTCAGTGGTGATGCAGTAAATTTGGTTGGATTCATAGATTGACATCAGATATTGTACTTGTAAAGGGTTGGGGGTTACCCGTCTCTCAAGTATTAAAAGCGTTCACTCAAAAATGAATCAAAACCTGTCATCATTTACTCACCTTCATGCCATTTCAAAACTGGCATACTTTACTTGTTACCATGCAACATATAGTGATCACCGGCTGTCAAGCTCTAAATATGAACAACAATAACAAAAAGCATAATAAAAGTCATTCATATGATTTTTATGGTACTAAAATTATGCTTTTTGTCATTTTGGAGCTTAACATTCTTTACTTTATCATTCTAAGAGTACAAACATAAAAAAAAAATCAGGTTTGGTATGACATGAAGGTTGGTACATTATGACAGAATCAACATTTTTGGTTGAAATATCTTGTAACACTTTCACATCTCACTCAAATGTCTCATTTCTCTCACAGTTGAAAATGTCAGCCCTAAAAGCATTTATAATGCACCTGATAGTAACGTAATGGCATTGATTTGCGCATCTCAAAGCTCTAGAAATACTGTATGCACTCTAATACTGTGTATAAATTAACATATTCCTACTATGTAGAAATTGAAGATTGTAAAAGCAAACCTGAACACTGAATCTGTTAATCTACACTACTAAATGACTAATAATTAAATCAATATTGCATGGCACTGGTTGTTTAGAGTAGATCCATCAAAGCTATTTTTGTGACCATCAGGCACTTCAGAATAAATCAGAGGGAATTGTGGAATAGCCTCCTCGCTCCGGTAATTATTTACGGAACTGTTTTTTGACAATCCTTGATTTGCTGATATTGGCTCTGTGTAGTTACAAACCATTCGCATTACAATAAGATAACACTGGCTAAAAGCTAAATCACAAAACCATAACAACATTTACATATAATCTAAATTCATGAGTCATTCATAAGTCTTTATATTGTTGACATACTCTGTACTTACGGCTGATTGTAAAAAAAATATGTTTTACAATCTCTCTGTGGAGAACATTTAATCAAATACACAGCATTTAAACGAGCAACACAAAGTCTGTACATTTTCTTTTATAGTGTACTTCTGATAAACACAGTAGCATGTTCTAAATATTCATGTTTTAAATATTCATGTTTTGGCACTTAACTTTAACACTGAAATGTAACCCGTCTCTCTCTCTGATATCTAGAGAGCCCCACACATGACATGCAAGAATTTTTTTTTTTTTACTAATTCGTTCCCTCGATGTACTAAAACGTGCACACGATTACTATTTCGTTCCCTCGATTTGCTAAATCGTGCGCACAATTTACTAATTAGTTCTCTCGATTTATAAATCGTGTGCACGATTTAGCAAATCGAGGGAACGAATTAGTAAATCGAGCGCACAATTTAAAAATCGAGGGAACGAAATAGTAAATCGTGCACACGATTTAGCCTACTATTTTTTTCCTGCATGCCATGTGCGGGGCTCCGTAGATATCTGATTTACACTTAAACTAGAAAGCAACGTGATGTTGGATGGATTGATGTTTCTCTGACTACATTCTAACCACAAACCGTTCACATTCTCTATGGCTCAAAATGCGATATGAAAATTCACTCTAATTTCCGCCGCGATCTCATTTTGGCATTGCGGTGTGAATCATACAGCCCCTGTTCTGCATTATTATTGATTAAAATTACATTCTTTTATGCTTGTATTGTTATTTACTTATTAGATTAATTAGAACGCCTTCAAAAAGTTGCGTTATGGTTAAAAAGCTTCCTAACCTGAATTGCAACTTTTAAGCTCGAAACAGTTTTGGCACTATAAATATTTCCCTGGACGAATCGCTTCTAACAGATAATGGGTGACACATTCTGGATCTTGTTTGGAATCTTTAAATACTATCCAGAGATTTCATTAATTATTACTAGTTCATAGGCTGGTCTAGTTCTTCTCTAATTGTGATTGGTCGGCCCTACTGCAGGTGAAGAGGGTGAGTTGGAGGGCGGGGCTTATGAGCGGACTGGCCAATCAGGCGCTCAGGTGGGCAGGTTGAGGTTGACCGTCTCGGCCAGAGGGCTGGACATGCGTATCTGTGAGCTGCTCTTGCTGAGGATGGACAGCTGTGTCCCCCCGTTCACCCCACTGCTCGCTAGCGAAGGGTGACGCTGCTGCTTCAGGTCCACAGCAAAGTACCTGTTCACCGTCCAACTCCTCCATTTCCTCTTTATCTCCGACTGCACCTTTAGGGAGAAACTTGAAAAGGTCATTTTTTAATGTACTCAGCTGTAAAGGTGCACGCGTTCTCCACCAGTCCACGCTCTCTCTCATGCTTTACACCATGTCCAAGCCAGACGTGACACATTTGTGGACACAGAAAGCAAAATACTGCACAATATAATAGCCAATCAGAACATATATTTGATGTTTTATGTTTGGACCAATGAGTATTCACTACTTAGAGCAATGCAACACAAAATATGTCTTGTTGCAATGTGCAGTTGCCATAAGTTTTGAGTGCATTTTTGCTGTACCATGGAAGAAACTGATTGTTTATCACTTAATCACATCACACCTGGTCAGGACATGGTAGTGTTTTGGATTTTAAATTAAATCTCTCAACATGCCAACACTCAGTAACTAAAAATGTAGCAAAAATGTCGATTTTTTTTATGAAGCACATTGGATAAATTATTGTGGAAACGTAATGTTTTCTGAGCAAACCCAAACATATATGAAATTAATATCACAGCTGATTGCATGCTTTTGAGAATATCAAAACAAAAGCTCTTACCTCTCCATTCAGAAAGCAGTACAACACGGCAACCACAAACCCCTGTGGAGAGTTAAAGTGAGTATGTGGTGAAGTGGATATCATTTTAAAGTGTTTTACAGTTCAAAAGTTTAGTAGAAATCAATACTGTTACTCAGCAAAGATGCATTCATTAAAAGACAGCAAAGACATTTATAATGATACAATTGATTTCTTTAGATTCCTCAAAGAATCCTAAAAATGTATAATGGTTTCCACAAAAATAAGTAGCACAACTGTTTTCAACATTGATAATAATAATACATTTTCATAAACAGCAAATTCTGAGGGATCGTGTGACACTGAAGACCGGAATCAGGGGAATAAGTTGAATTTTTCAATATATTTAAATATGAACCAGCTATTTTAAACTGCAATAGCATTTTGCAATATTCCTGTTTTAACAGTATTTTTTATCAAATAAATGCAGCCTTGGTGAGCAGATCTATTCATTTAATCAAGCTCAAAAACCTAGTGAACAGCAAAACCATGTCCCAATACTGTGTCAACATGAAGCAATTATTTGTATGAATATTTTATAGGCGTTTTACCTGTATTTTGAAATACTTATTGCATAGTGTTTTATGTTTGAAAGTCAATTTGACAGAAAATGTATTGGTAATTTGTATTTTGCTTACAGTGTGCCTTGCTGTCTACATTGGCTACCATCTAAGGCAGCATAGTACTAAATGTGGAATGAATTGAAACACTCTACATAGGCAGCAATTCACAAAAGTAGAGTGAAAACTAGAGCTGACCGCAAGTTGCAACAGAGCCTAACATAAGTATGCTGTTAAGCTTAAAAAAAAAATGTCATACTCATACTGATACTAATACTGGTTGTATATTTTAATACAAAACTGGACACTGGATCTTAAGTACTGAATAAATATGCTTTCTTTTGATTCTATCTGCCATTTTGAAATCAACTTTTCACTAGGATTTTTGCAATGCATTCTGAAGTTGTCTAGTCCACAAAAGCTTATATTCTGGCAGCATTTAATATTGATGCCCTATGTTTGGAACAGCCCATGTGTTGGGATCGCACCTACTGTATGATGCCATTTCTGGCAGCTCACTGGTTTGGAACAGAGAAATAGTGTCCACGGAGGTGTTTCTAAAATACAGCGCTAAAGTTGCTACTATAAAAGCTGACGCTCAGTACCTGGAAGGAGCCCAGGCCCAGCTCAAAGACCAGTCGCTCCCGCTTGCTGAAATCCTCCGGGGAGAAGGCGAAAACAGTGTAGTGGATTCCGAACAGAGGGATGAGGAGCAGGGTGGAGCGCGCCAGACGCCTGTCAACACACAGCACACACAGCGGCGCTTCAGACGGCTGATTAAATCTCTCAACATGCCAACACTCAGTTCCTGTAATGCACTGGAGATCAGAGCCCTCCACAACAATCCTGCTCCACAGGAAAGAAGGCCTCTTTGATTTATCTATTATTTCTTCTAGACAGCAGAAGAGCAAATAGAGACCTCAGATCACTGTAAAAAAAATTCTGTAGTTTTTACAAAATAATTTTGGAAGCTGTGGTTGCCAGAAAAATTTTGTACAAAATACAGAAAAACTGTAAACACATTTACGGGCAAAACCTGTAAATTTTAATAATTTACAAACAAGAAAATTTGAATGTAAACCAGTAAATTCAACAATGCACTCTGCTATTAAAATCAGTTTTGTACCTTTAACATACTGACAACCACCATAATAATGCAGGTGGTAAAAGAGAAAGCCACATGAAGAATCAAAGCTCATCACAAGTAGCTTCGCCACAAGCAGAAGTATATACTAATATATAGAAGGTGCACAGAGTCATTCATGCAGACACTTAACACCATCATGGTAACACACATGATACTTAAATAATGCATTCAACTTTCATTAAACAACAGAAGATGTAACATAAAGCCCAAATATACATAACTAATAACAAAAACTATTAAAAAAACATGATTATTTAAACAAAATACTTTCAAATGTGGAGTGTCATGCAGGGAATTCTGGGAATATCAGTTTACAGTTTTTGACTGTAAATTATACATTGATTCGTTATTTTTACTTATAAAAACTGTAAAATTAACAGCATTTTACTGTAAAAAATGTCTGGTTAGATATTTTACAGTTTTTCCCTGTATATAGTAGGGGAACTTACTGTTAACCTATTAACAGTTTTTTTCCGTAGCGTTTTTACAACATTTTACAGTTAAAATTACACTTATTTTTTACAGTGTGCTTCTCCTGAGCAAAAGATCCCAATAATCTCACACGTGTCTCTTCTCTAGACTTTCAGAAGAGATTACAACAATGTCTGGCTGTGCATTCCCGAAATAACAAAGTCTGCAATTAAAGTCTAGCCTAAGATATGAAATAATAGTCAGAAATATCTATTTTTAAATGAAACAGTTTATTAAAACTGTAGACATAATACAAAAAAAAAATTTTGTTGGTCAATAACCAAAACTGCTAGGATGATTAACAGCTGTGCTATAGTTCAGTTTTGATTCCAAAATCTGGTTCCAAAAAAAAATTCCCAAATTTATTTAGTGGATGAATAACACACTTAAAAATCTGTTTCCATTTTTGTTTTTCAAGTTTTTGTAAAATATTCTAGTAAACATTTTGTTCAATAAAAGTTTTTGTGAAATTAATTTTTTTTTTTTAAATTAAACGACATCCTTTGAAAACCTATATTGATCAACTAATACTGCTAAGCCCTGATTTGGTCTCAGCAGGGCCCTTGCCAAGACCAAGACTAACTGCCCAGCCACCTAAACCAGATTGGACCAGACTGAACCACCACTTCCAAAACATAGAGGCAACTGTAAACTGGATTTTCCAGCAGTTAAAACTTATTAAAAGTCTTGTAGCTCAAACAGTAGAGTTGGGTGCTAACAACATCAGGTACATGGATTCAGTTCCCAGAGAAAGCAACTGATAGAAATAGCTTTAAATATGAGTGTGTATATAAAAAGTGTGTGCACGTAATAAAACTACAAAACACAGACAAGACCACAAAAACTATGTGCAGTGAATATTCACAGCCTTTTTTCCCTCAATGGACAGTTAAAAGTGAAAAATGCACATTTGTTGGCCAACACAGACGCAGATGCACACACACATTCACACAAACACACACAAACACACACACTTACAGCGTGATGGTAGAAAGCTCTGACATCCTGCACGAATGCTGGGCGGCCTGTGTGGGCTCACTGAAGCATTTCTGTGCACAGCTGCTAAACACGACAAAGACAACAAACACTCTTTAGGACAGAACACACACATACACACAGACTCACTCACGAAACTGACCACAAACAACAGACCCCAACACCAAGACAACTCAAGGGCCACTAATAGCTCAAGCACATTCTTTGCATGATACTCTTTTCCATGCAATTGCATTAAATAAGGACTGAAGCCTTCAAGCTTCAAAAAGGATGCAAAAATTGGTCCATACGTCTTGTGCTCTAGATCAGTGGTTCTCAACCTTTTTTGAGTACTGGACCCCCATAATATCTCAAACCAACCTCATGGACCCCCGCCCCCCATTGATATTGACGTGTTTTTGTGCAGTCCATTTTTCTTAGCTCTTCTGGTGTCAGGTCCACTGATAGATGGCCTATCAAGCCACCTGTCCATAGGCTGGTCTTGTTAACTTTTTTTATTTTTTGTTTAGCGATACATTGCCCTAGAAATAATTGCGAGAAACAATATTACTGTCATTTTATGACCATTTTATGCCATTGACTATATAGTGATGTTTCAGTTTCAGCGCTGGGCTGTCAGGCATTGTTACAGCAGGTGGCTGCAATGGATTGACTTTACAAGTGAGTCATCATTAAAAAAACATTCATTCAACGGATACACTTAAAAACGCTGATTCATTCATGAATGAAACAAGGTGTTGACATTAATTTACTTTGAGTGCCAGTTTACAAGGCTCAATTAACAATCAACACACCACATGGGTTACAGTGAAGCTGATATTTCACTTCATAGAGAACAATGCCATTGATTCAGTGTACTGAACAGCGCTGACGACAGTCGTGGGAAATCCCCTTAAATACTGAAAGGATACAATGACACAGATATCGCTTTCATCTTCTCCCAACTGATGGCAAACTGATTTTTTTCATGATTATAGGAGTTGACCTGAAGACATTGACTATATAGTGATGTTTCAGTTTCAGCGCTGGGCTGTCAGGCATTATTACAGCAGGTGGCTGCAATGGATTGACTTTACAAGTGAGTCATCATTAAAAAAACATTCATTCAACGGATACACTTAAAAACGCTGATTCATTCATGAATGAAACAAGGTGTTGACATTAATTTACTTTGAGTGCCAGTTTACAAGGCTCAATTAACAATCAACACACCACATGGGTTACAGTGAAGCTGATATTTCACTTCATAGAGAACAATGCCATTGATTCAGTGTACTGAACAGCGCTGACGACAGTCGTGGGAAATCCCCTTAAATACTGAAAGGATACAATGACACAGATATCGCTTTCATCTTCTCCCAACTGATGGCAAACTGATTTTTTTCATGATTATAGGAGTTGACCTGAAGAAAGACAGACCCAGGTACTCACACACCCTTAGTTCTGCTGATGCTGTCACCTCTCTCTCTCTCTCTCTCTCTCTCAATTCAATTTAATTCAATGTGGGCTTTATTGGCATGACAATTGTTACAATATATTGCCAAAGCATAGTGTTTACACTGAATCATAGATATTGCTTTCATCTTCTCACAATTGATGGTAAACTGATTTTTTTATTGATTATGAGTTGACCTGAAGAAAGACAGACCCAGGTATTCACACACCCTTAGTTCTGCTGACGCTGTCACCTCTCTCTCTCTCTCTCTCAATTCAATTTAATTCAATGTGTGCTTTATTGGCATGACAATTGTTACAATGTATTGCCAACGCATAGTGTTAACATTGAATCTAGAACAGATATTTAAATTAAAAAAAATATCAGTTCATGGTTATAATAATTTAAAAAATTTTTGTAATGATTCTACGGACCCCCTGCAATTATGTGACGGACCACTAGGGGTACGCGTACCCCCGGTTGAGAAACACTGCTCTAGATTATTTAGGCTATTTAGACTGCTTGTCCAGAAAAAAACCGATATATTTTATTTTTCACTGCCACAGAAAAAAACAAACAAACAAAAAAACCAAACATGTTGCCTTGATCAACAAGGATTTCTGTATGCATACAAAATGAATGCTTCCACTTATCCCAGTCAACATTTTTTAGTTACCAGAACAGAAAACCTTATGGTTGAATAATAAATCAAAACCTAAAAATAACCATTAGAGAACACTCTTTCTAGATTCTATCTTGGTTGTCACAAAAATCCTCCCAGCAACATTAGTTTTTGATTACAATACTTACAGAGAATGTTCCTGTATTGTTATTCTTTAGTTCTCAAAAATAATAGAGAACGTTCCATATAGGTTCTATGTAGGTTGTCACAAAATGTTCTGGCAATATTAGACTTTGTATACAAAACGTACAGAGAACTTTTCTAGAATCTTATTTGGTTCCTAAAAATAACCAAACGGGAACCATATGCTAAAGTTAGGTGAACGTTCTGTGTTTGCTTGGATACTATCAAGACTTTCATTTCATTTCAGCCATCATCACGTGATACACGGTATCGACTAATCAGACGCAACACAACAGCAGCACTCTGTTTCCACGGTGACTGAGACTAACACACTCACAGGTAGATGCTGGACTCGTTCCCGCCAATGTCTGGAGACTGCAGCTTCTGCACCAAGATTATGATGATTCCAATGAAGAGGACAAAATTAATCTGAAAGGAAATGCATGGGTTTATTATAGTATGGAATATGGCTCCATTCACATACAGTACATAAATGAACTCATATGTTTTATTCATCCGCCTTTTAGCTCTAAAAACAAAAAATTATTATTATTATTATTATTGGCTTACCATGATTGATGCCACAACGGGTCCCTTGATTACCCACCAGAGGGCAGTATTATCATTCATGTCCCAGCAACTGCAGAAATACAATTGATTAACTGTAAGAAGCTTTATTGCTATTGGTAGGCTAGGTCACGTGATTTAGCAGCTAAGAGTTCAGAATAATAAAGTGCATGCTTTTGAAAGAAAATAGCATTCAGTGTGTGCCAGATGCCCTACTGCATATCCAACAGCACACACTGTCTGGAAAATTGTGTCACAAAATGCAATGTGCTTGAATCAAAATGTATCCTATTTATTTTCCTAACCGTGTAAAGCCTGACATATGATAGTCAGAAATGTTAAACGGAATAGTTTATTGGACATAATATAAAAAGAAATCTAAAGAGTTTGCATATATTTTTTTTGTTGAGCATCAGATTTGATACATTAGGCTTTTATGGCACATGCAGTACGATATAGTGAGAATATAGAGCTTGTATTCAAGGAGGAAAAAACACCTCAGTTTTATTCAGAGGCTAAAACTGAGCAAAAATATGCAATTTGGTGCAGGCGTTGATATTTATATGGCCAAATAGTAAAAGTAAGATGAAATTCTGATAGCTACTTACATAAAATGCATGTAAATATCAGTATATCTCCCAATAATATGTCTTAGTAATATGATATTTAAATATTCATTTGTATGATCAAAGCTCTGTAGTTTTTATTGTGGGGCAAAACATATAATGCAATACGATACAATGCTGATTGAGGGATGTATAAATAAATGCTCCTCAAAAGCCTGAAGATCATATTTGATACTCACATTTTAACAAAATTCTTCAAAAAAAAAAAAGAAAGAAAATGATGTATGGACAATCAAGTTAAAGATACTCTTGTTCCTCTTGAAAAATAACTAACAATATAAAATTATTTGTTACATTTATGACTACGTTTACCTAAAAATTTCACAGCAAAAATACATGTGAACCACAACATGAAAGTGAATGTTTTTACAATGATATTAAAAGGCCTTTTATTTAATAAAAAAACTAATTCTAAATGATCAATCAGATGACAGAATGCATGTAGTAGTTTGTGTACAAGAAGTTTTTTTTCAGCCAGGTTTGATCTAATTTAGAGGCTTTAGAAATGTGCATATGAAATATGATATAGGTTAACAGATGCTCCTGGTCTTAGTGTGCATGATTATATCACATTAGTAATGAAATGTAATTAGAAATGTATGAGTTGCACCTTTTCATGTTGACCACATTCAACTCGTTACTATTTAAGTAACCCAACTCCAAAGAGATATTTTTACACAAAACTGGATTAAACCGTATGTATTTCTGAGACGATAACCAGATGGCACCCAAATTAAACATAGTGAGGTTATATAACAAAGCAGTGTTTTCTTATTTAAAACATCTAAAAAAAAATAGCATGTAGTCCTTTCCAAACAGTGACTAGTGACACTGAAGTTCAGTGCCAGCATTTGCGTATCAAAGCAACAAATACAGTATATCAGTTTTTGTTTATGCGGCATTGCACGTACCCAGAGTCATCAAAATGAAGGCGCAGAACGGCCCATATGGTCACACAAATGGTGGGCGTTCCTGAAAGCGCGAGAGGAAGAGGAAATTTGTCAGACCTCAAAGCTGTTCTCCAATGCATTTAGACCAGCAATATGAATGAATTACATACGCCAGCACAACAAATCACATCATAAAGAGCCAGTGGCCAGTTAATACACAAACGCCACACTCCATTTCCCTCCATATCTATGACTGTGACACATAATCAATCATAAACAATACATTTTTTTCTGTGATGCATCACTGTGACATACCCCAGCCGATGATGGTGTACCAGTAGAAGTAGCGTCTCTCAGGAAAGAAGGTTTCCACCAGAAGCGTGAAGAGATAGAGACCTTCGATGAAGAGCCAGAAGTAGTTTGACATCACACAGTAATGGAAGAAGACCATCACCGCCTTACACCCCACCTGAACACAGAGAAACACATTCAGGTTTGCTTAAAATCCAATGGATCCCATTAGAAATCCATCACTCTTAAAAATTAAGGTTCTTTATTGGCATCTGTGGTTCCATGAAGAACATGCTTGGTCTCTCTCCATTCCACAAAAGGTTCTTTGTAGTGAAATATTTTTTTTAGATTATTAAAATGTTCTTCACACTAAGAAAATAAATCTTTTCGCTGTTCTCTGAAAGGTTCTTTGGAGAATCAAAAACGGTTCTTCTTATCACAATGCTGTGAAAACCTACTTTGGAGCCTTCATTTTTACATTTACATAACATTTAGTCATTTAACAGACGCTTTTATCCAAAGCGATTTACGAATGAGGACAATGGAAGCAATCAAAATCAACAAAAGAGCAATGATATGCAAGTGCTATAACAAGTCTCTATGTAGCAAGGTTGTTTTTTAAATTATATAATAAATAAAAAGAAAACAAATAGAATAGAAAAAGAATAGAGCAAGCTAGTGTTAGAGGCCTTTTTTGCTTTTGTTAATTGTATAATAAATAAAAAGAAAAAAAATAGATAGAATACAAAAAGATTAGAAAAGCTATTTTTTTAAAAGAAAACAAGCAGTAAATGAATAGAGTGCAAGTCTAAAAGGGGCGAGTTTTTTTAAAGAATAGAATTAGAATAGTGAGTAGAGGTCGACCGATAGTGGATTTTGCCAATACCGATAGCTAGGTTGGACCACACTGGCCAATACCGATAGTTTTTAAAATGGATACTGAACAAAAACTAAAATAGTGATTTATTAAAAAAACAGTACTGAACCATACTACTACTACTAGTAGTAGTAGTAGTAATAATAATAATAATAATAGTAAATGTTGAAATTAACACACTCTAACAAGGAACAATACTTACACAGCTTTCATTAATCTTAATGTTACAAATGGACTCTTATTTTAAAGTGTTAACATTTAATTTCAACAGTCATGCTAAAAGATGCACAACTTGAAATATATACACAAAGGCCATAGCATTCAAATTATATACTGTATATATGGATATTTTATGCATACTCTCATGCTTTAACTGCTTCTATTCTTGGACATTTGATGATTATCTAATCAAAATAAAAGCAGGATTTTCTGTCAGCTGCATTTAAATCTGCGTCTGAAGTTTCCCGCTCGGTTCAGCGTGCAGTATCATGTGTCTAAACAAATAGCACGTGCTGTCAGTGATTTCAACCACTAGAGGCCGCTCTCGCACTGTATAATGACAGCAGACCCTTCTCAGCCACTCCTCAACTGACGCAACCCAGAAAACTATCGGCATGAATATTTGCCGATAACCGATAGTTCCAGCAATCAACTATCGGTGCCGATTAATCGGCAAAACCGATACATCGGTCGACCTCTAATAGAGAGTGCTAGAGTTAGAGGGTCAAATAAAAATGGAAGAGATGTGTTTTTAGCCAATTCTTGAAGATGGCTAAGGCCTCAGCTGCTCGAATTGAGTTGGGCAGGTCATTAAGGAAAAATTTTAATGCAAAATAATATGCTTAAATAATATGATAAAGACACAAAATATATTCAGTTGTGAAAATGAACATATTAATTATTAAAATAGAAAATGTTAAACATATTTGTTAAAATCAGTTTTATCATATGCTCTCGTATTTCTTTGATTATGTTTTTGTAAAGTCATAATTGTGCTATGATATAGTATACAGTATATAATATACTATTTTGATCTGTCTGCTATTTGCAATTTACTATTTTTCATAGCGTGATTCTTGGTAAATGTATTAATATCAGTTAGGGTCAGTTTGACTGGCAAATGTCATACTATTATAATAAAATTATGTTAAAAACACAACAATTGAAAACAAAAACATACAAAAAAGTCTTGTCCTCATATTTTAATTCCAAGATTATAACAAGTGACATTTCAATGATATTTTGACCACTAAACTGTAGGAAATGTCTCTGGTTTCTATTTCAGAAATCTAGTCATCTTCATTTTACATGCCTATTCTGACATATTTTATGAAACAGTTTATAATAAATGACAGGACTTCATCCATTAGGAAATGATTTAAGTGCAAAAACTGACACTGGCTATTTGATGTATGAATGCAAACAGAGAGATTTCTCTTTGTATTATTGGCCTTCTTGGGTCAAACCAGTTTAAGCTGGTCAATCTGGTTTAGCAGCTGATTTGTTGCTGGTCCATAGTGGTCTGCCAGATAGTTTAGCTAATCAACCCGGCCTAGTGACCATCTTAAACCAGCTGTAAGCAACTGGATCCATGATGCATCCTTCCATCTGACAGACTGTATATTTCCATTTATTTCCATTCACAATTTCTTTTTAAATACTTGGTTAAAGTATTTAACCATGTTCATCAATTACACTCTGATCCAATTCGGTGCTAAGTGATGTCATTAACATGGCCCCTGATTGGCTGGGGGAAAGAGCTCAGAGCCCTCATTCAGGTGTATAATGAGAGCGTGCACGGTTTTATAAGCTATTCATATGCTAATACAGAAATAATGGAATATTTCCAGAGCAGCTTCATGATAATTACGGCTGTTTGTCAGGCACAGACGGGAGAAACACAACGTGTTGCTATTGAACGTGGGGCGAAGGCTTGAACAGAAATGGATGGAGTTATTATTAGTCTCTGGATTTCACATGCAAATAGCATCCAGCCAAACTCCGGCCCTAGTAGCAGTTTCCATTTATCTGCGATTGACTGTGAAAGCAAAGCCTATAGGAAAACTTTAAACCACACACACAAAAAACTATTAACAGATTAAAACCATATAGTGTTATATGCTGATGGTACCATAAAAGGTAAAACTGTTATAAATAAATATTTAGAAATAATTAATAATACTTGATTAGTTTTTTTAAGTATTGGTATATTTAGTATTTAGTGGTATTATATATATACTGTCTACTACATAGAACATATTCAATTAATTTAATTTAAACATAATTTTTAATACATTTGTCATATTAATTTCTTCAGGCATAAAACTAAAAAGGTTTAGTGAAGCTTCAATCCAAAACAAAATATGTGCATTGGTGCATGTGCATTACTCACAGTATGAACGAAGCAGTGGTCGCTGTCCTCCTCAGCATACAGGACCCCGTCTTTAATGAACACAGAGATGGCTCTCAGCATGAAGGACACAAACAGGTTCATGTGGATGAAGTTCCTGGTGCAGTGAAGCTTCCTGTTGACAGACGTTCAAAGGCAGAACTACGGTGTTGTTAGGAGATTGAAATTCTAATGTGTTTGGGTGGGCAGCTGAGGGTTTGTATCAATGTGCAAACACTCATCATTGCTTCTTTGAAGCCCTCGGCATCTTATCATAATGTACATCATACACAGGTTCTTCAGATCACTCTATTTGCTTTTTAGGTACTGTAAAGCACCTCTACACAGATGCTTTTCTAAAGAACTAAAGAAAACAAAGTACTCAAAAAGCTTCTTCATTTGCATCAGGCTGTAAAATCCTTTTTCATTGTAATTGGGAAACTGTACTTTAAAAAGTTGAGGCCAATCTCACATCTGGATGATAATACACACCAAAAAAGAAAAAAAGAAGAAACAAAAGAAATTATAGTTTGCATGAAGAAAATTAAGTCGCAGTTTTGTACTGCAGCAAATATTTCTAGTAAAATACTCCTTTTTCCTAACATAATCAAATCACTACCAATAAAGTAGCAAAAATACCATGTTTTCACATGCATCATGTACTTCATCAGAGTTTCATCAGTATATGTTAAACTGACCGGAAGCGGCACAGAATGACCATAGCTGTGGTCAGAGACACCAGAGACGTGCTGTAGCCCACCGTATAGAGAGCTTTCACCGATGCATAGTACATGTCCTTGGGAAGGGAAGAGAAAACTACATTAGTCTTGGTTAGCAGAAAATAATAATAATTGTGCCTTTTTATCTCACAATCACAATTTTGCAGATCTGATTGTTTTATCTCGCAATTCTGAGAACTGCGAGATATAAACTCACAATTGCGAGAAAAAAGTCCGAACTGGGCAAATCGAGACGAAAAGCTTGTTTCTGCCAGGATTAAATAAAATAAAAAAGGTAATTACGACGTTATCTCACAGTTCTGACTTCTCAAAACGTTGTCTCACAAATGCAGGTTATAAACTTGCATTTCTGATTTAAAAAATGCTTGCGAGTTTATATCTTGCGATTCTGGCAACTTTTCATCTCACACTTCCAACGTCCTGAAATTCTTTGGAAAAAAAAAAGCCAGAGTTGCGAGATAGAAAATTTGAGTTATTAACTTGTAATTGCAAGTTTATAATTCGCAATTGTGAGATACAAACTTGCGATTCTGAGAAGAAAAGTCAGAAATTGCAAAAAAAAAGAAAAGAAAAGAAAAGTCTATGTCTAATTACGTCGGAATTATGAGATAAAGATTCGCTATTGCCTTTTTATTTCAGTTTTTCTTGATTGCGAGATAGAAAATCTGAGTTATTAACTTGTAATTGCAAGTTTATAATTCGCAATTGTGAGATACAAACTTGCAATTCTGAGAAGAAAAGTCAGAAATTGCAAAAAAAAAAGAAAAGAAAAGAAAAGTCTATGTCTAATTACGTCGGAATTATGAGATAAAGATTCGCTATTGCCTTTTTATTTCAGTTTTTCTTGGAGGAAAAAAGCTTGCCACAGTTCTTGCGAAAATCAGAAAGTTAAATTACAAATGTTTACAATTTTAAGAATCTGTCATATTGGTGGACCATACATTTATATATTCTCTCAGTATACATTTGTTCTGAGCTTGTCTTCAGATGATTTATATCATCAGTACTTCAGTCAGATGAGATACTCACAGGTTTGGTTGTGTTGTCACCAGTCATACAGGCATCAACATAGTGTGGATACGGTTCAGACCAACCGAACTCCGTACAGTTTCTGCTGATCTTGCCGAGCCCTGAAAATCAGCCAGGCAACAAGCAGAACAACGATAAATCAAACATGTTTCCTACTTTAAACATACTGTAAGCAGCTGCTGCAATATGCTGCTGTCAGCAGAACCGCAAGAACAAAAGAGTACATTCATCACATGTACATTTATAATGACTCATGATCTCATGTAAAGCCTAACGTTTCGTGTTTCTTTGGCTGAGAAAGATTTCTCAGGCTGATCTTACGCCTGCTTCAACAGTGTTGCTGTTAAACCTGAACTAAACAAGCAAATTGAACCAAAACCTTCAAAAGATTAACTTGAAAAGACATTTTTATTACACAGCAAAACCATGTTTTTTTGGAGATGTTTTATGGTCAAACACAGAGATTCTACTGTATGTTTATACAGTGGGTACGGAAAGTATTCAGACCCCCTTAAATTTTTCACTCTTTGTTATATTGCAGCCATTTGCTAAAATCATTTAAGTTCATTTTTTCTCCTCATTAATGTACACACAGCACCCCATATTGACAGAAAAACACAGCATTGTTGACATTTTTGCAGATTTATTAAAAAAGAAAAACTGAAATATCACATGGTCCTAAGTATTCAGACCCTTTGCACCTGCTTCAACAGTGTTGCTGTTAAACCTGAACTAAACAAGCAAATAGAACCAAAACCTTCAAAAGATTAACTTGAAAAGACATTTTTATTACACAGCAAAACCATGTTTTTTTGGAGATGTTTCATGGTCGAACACAGAGATTCTACTGTATGTTTATATATGTGAGAGGGATTTCTAAAGGATCATGTGACACTAAAGACTGGAGTAATGATTCTGAAAATCCAGCTTTTTCCCTCACAGGATTGTTAATTAAAATAAATTATAAATATAAATTATATATATATATACATATATATATATATATATTCATATTCTTTCATTGTATTTAAAATAAACAAACACAAATAAATAAATAACATAAATGTAATAAATAATAAGGTCCCAATATGGCCCCATTACTACATTAACTAACAGTAATTAACAACGAGGAATTAATTTGTTACAATACTTATTGATCTTTGTTAACGTTTGTAACATTAACATTAGTTAAAAATAGAATTGCTAGGTAATGTTAGCTCAGGTCCACCAGATAATATTAACATATACAAACCTTTGATTTCAATATTGTATTAGTAAATGTTCAAATTAACATTAACAAAGATTAATAAATGCTCTAGAAGTATTTGTCATTGTTAGTTCATGCTATTGCTAAATAATGTGAAGTAATATTAACAAATGGTATCTTACTGTAAAGTGTAATCAATACTTTTCATTTATATTACTATAATTAGTTATATTAATATATTTAATTATATTACTATTATAATTTATATTAGCAGCAATGCATTAAAAATGTCAGCGTGCAATTTCTCTCACCTTCCTCTGGACTCATGAACTCGAAGAGCTCGGGACAGTTGACCTCCACGACCTTGCCGACACTGGCCGCCTGCCAGCAGGTCAGATTGTCCCACTCCCACGGACACTCTGAAAACAACACCACCAAACTCACATTAGTACACCTCACATCTCACAGCAGCTAGTTAGGTTTGTCTTGCTGGGACTATTACAGAGATTTGAGGCCTGTTTGTTTCAGACAGTTACTATGCTATTATTTGAACTTCCTTAGAGTGCCAAGTAAATAGCATGGCATAGAATTAAAATAATAATTCAAAAGCATATAATAGATATTGAAATATCATGGTATTGCCAACTGAAACAGTATCTGTGCCACAACATAACTTCATACAATGAAACAGCACCGATATAATATCCTCTTTTGCATATAAAACAAAATCTCATAAAGCCAAATTACATCTGGACTCATGACACTATAACAGATGTCTCCATTTAATTCTCAATTATACTAAGATTAGCCCGCGAGAGGACACCAAGGTGAGAGTGACTATGACCAGCAGGGGGCCTCAGCAGCGGTTCCTGCCCGAGGACTTTAACATGATCAATAGGTGATATGGATCAAAATCCATCACTTTCACAATTGCATTTGACTCCTCGTTTCCCTCAGCTCATTACCGAAATGATTCTGGAATTAATTACAGAAATGACTCTCACTCAATCTGGTGGCAACCAACAAAATAATGCAAAAGATGAATAAAACAATGTGGAGATACCTGATAGTGTCAGAACATCAACAACAGATTTTGGAATGAATTGTGGGCAGATTTAGAGTTCAGATGTGTCTATTTCTGACCATCATAACTGTCAGATACAGTCATTTATTCTTCTGTAAACAGTTTAGTTTTACTGATAGTAAAAATCAAGAATGAAACAATTCTATTTCAACTGTAGACAGCAAATGGAAGCTTCAGAGTTTTAGAAGAAATATTATTGTCTTCAACTATGCTCAGAGACTAAAGTCCGGGATCTGACCACATTAAAAACAAATAAATAAATACTACATAGATTCAACAAATAATTCTGTAAATAAATAAATAAATAAATAACATAGTCTCAATATGAACACTGTAAATAAATAAATAAATAAATAAATATTTATCAAGTCTCTCCTCCTGCTCTACACTCTCTGAGATGGAGGTTTCCAAACTTATCCTTTCCAATCATCCTACTACTTGTCCACTTGATTCTATCCCCACTCACCTCCTTCAGGCAATTTCTTCTTCAGTCATACCTTCGCTTACTCACATTATCAACACCTCTCTTCACACTGGTACATTTCCCACAGCATTTAAGCAGGCTCGGCACTGCTTAAAAACCCTCTCTAAATCCAGTACTTTTAGAAAACTACAGACCGGTATCCCTCTTCCGTTCATTGCAAAGACACTTGAGCGAGTTGTGTTCAACCAACTCTCTATGTTTCTTGCACAGAACAACCTCCTGGACAGCAACCAATCTGGCTTCAAAAGCGGCCACTCAACTGAGACTGCCCTGCTCTCGGTAACTGAAGCCCTGAGACTGGCAAGAGCAGCTTCCAAATCTTCAGTACTAATCTTGCTGCATCTGTCTGCTGCTTTTGACACAGTTAACCACCAGATCCTCCTGTCCACCCTCAGAAAGATGGGCATCTCAGGAACCGCACTCCTGTGGTTCAAGTCCTACCTCTCAGGTAGGCCCTTCAGGGTGTCTTGGAGGGGTGGGATTTCTAAGTCACAACTTCTTGCTACTGGGGTTCCTCAAGGCTCAGTGCTTGGACCACTTCTCTTCTCCATCTACATGTCGTCATTAGGATCTGTCATTCAGAAGCATGGCTTTTCTTATCACTGTTATGCTGATGACACTCAACTCTACTTCTCATTCCAAGCAGATGATCCAACGGTAGCTGCTCACATTGCAGCCTGTCTGAGAGACATTTGTAGCTGGATGAAGGACCATCACCTTCAGCTCAACCTTATTAAGACAGAACTGATTGTGGTTCCAGCAAACTCATCGTTTCATCACAACTGCTCTATACAGCTGGGTTCGTCGACCATAACTCCTTCCAGGACAGCCAGAAACCTAGGAGTTGTGATCGATGATCAGTTAAGCTTCACAGACCATATTGCTACAACGGCCCGGTCTTGCAGATTTGCCTTATACAATATTAGGAAGATTAGACCCTTCCTGTCAGAGCAGATTAGACCCTTCCGCACAACTTCTTGTCCAAGCTCTTGTTCTCTCCAGACTGGACTATTGTTATGCTCTCTTGGCAGGCCTTCCCGCATGTACTATCAAGCCTCTGCAACTGATCCAGAATACAGCAGCGAGAGTGGTCTTCAATGAGCCAAAAAAAGAGATCACGTTACTCCTCTCCTCATCAGGTTACACTGGCTACCAGTAGCCACTCGCATTAAATTCAAGGTACTGATGCTTGCCTACAAGACAACCACTAGCGCTGCACCAATATACCTAAACTCGCTAGTTCAAACTTATGCAAGTGAACGGCGCCTTGTGGTGCCATCCCAAAGAGGCACAAAATCACTCTTACGGACCTTTTCCTGGACTGTGCCCAGCTGGTGGAATGACCTCCCGATCTCAATTCGAACAGCTGAGTCTTTAGCCATTTTCAAAAAACATCTAAAGACACATCTTTTTCGCCAGCACCTGACCAACTAATACTAGCACTTACCTATTCTATTCTGTTTTGTTCTATTCCATTGTATTATTAAAAAAAATAAGAATAAATCCCTAGCTACGTGTACTGTGCTAGACTACTTGAGACTTGTCATGGCACTTGTATACTGTTGTTGTTCTCTCGTTGGTCTGATTGCTTCTATTGTTCTCATTTGGATAAAAGCGTCTGCTAAATTATTAAATGTAAAATGTTAAGTCTCAAATAAATAAAAAATAACAAATAAATTAATAAATAAAAAATACTATAAATAAATTATAAATATTAGTCTCAATATGAACACTATAAACACAAGCGCAATAAAAACTAACAAAAAACATGAAAAAATAAATATTACCCAGATTCTATAAATAAATTCTATAAATAAATACTATTGAGTTCCAATATAAATACAAACTAAATTAAATAAATAATGAATAACTGAATGAATGTAAATGAAATTCTATAAATATATGAATTAAATATATACTATTCAGTCTCAATGTGAACACTATAAATAAATAATGAATAAATAAATAAACACTAGCTAGATTATATAAATAAATTCTATACTATTGAGTTTCAATGTGAACACTATAAATACAACTAAATAAAATTAATAATTAAATAAATACTACCCAGATTCTATAAATAAATTCTGTAAGATACAATCGAGTTTCAATGTGAACACTATAAATACAAACAAATTAAATGATTGAATGAATGAATGAATGTAAATACATTTTTATAAACGAATACTATTCAGTCTTAATATCGTCACACACTGTGTCTGAGAGAACGATGGAGACGTGGATCAGAGAAACAGTCTTTAATAAATCCAAAACAAGGGGTAATCCACACTAGGAATGACTGTGACACACACGAACATGACGTTAGTAGACCCGACAAAGACAGACGGCACAGACTGGGACTTAAATACACGGGGTAACAAGGGTAATTACAAGACACACTTGGATGACATGAACACAATCAAGCACGGGAGAAACTAGGTCACGGAGCACATGGGGAGGGAAAACACAACAAAACAGGTCCATATTCCTGACAAATATGAACACTGCTAGAATGTAAATGATAACTGGGAAAAATATATATACAAAATTATTATACAAATGCACTTAATAGTTAAAAATGGGCAAAAGACAGCAAAGGGGTCATTCAAAATAAGTTTTTATAAGATTTTTAACATATTTTTAAGTCTGTTATGCTCACCAAGGCTGCACTTACTTCATCAAAAATACAGTAAAAACAGTAATATAGTGAAATATTATTATAATTGAAAAACTGTTTATTTATATATATATACATACATATATATATATATATATATATATATATATATATAAATGTAATTTGTTCCTAATTTAAAATATTAATAATATAATATTTTTAATATTATAATATATTATTATATTACAACAATATAGGAACATTATAACTAATAATATATTAATATTATAACTCTTAATAATAAAATATTATAATAGTATAACAAAACTATAAAAGTATATAAATAATACTAAAATAACAGTCACATTACATTGCATGTTTAATTCAACGAGTGTATCATCAAGATGTTATCATCTTTTGAAAAAAAAATATATACTGTATATATTTGTTTAGCATTTTTAACCCAATTCTGTGTAAAATATCTGACCTTTTGGCAGACCATTCAAAAAATTAATCAAGATGAAAATCATAAAAAAAACTGCAGTTGATCCTGCTTTCTTTTTTTGACAGACAGCACTAGTGACGTAAAAATGCAGTGATTATTGATATCTGTGTTATCTGTGTTACCACTCTCGCTCACTTTCTCTTTTGTCTCAATTTCTCTCCCACACACTTTTGCTTTTTCTGTCTGCATCTGTCAATCTCTTTCTCAAGCCCTTCTTGCAAACGTGGCTGTTTTATTTCCGGCTGAATGATTTTCTGACTGCACAGCGATGAGCCTGCTGTGCTTTAAGGAACAGGAGAGGACGAGGATTAATGAAGCAGATGTAAACAAGAGAACACAGAGGTTATTCCTCCAAAATACACTGCATTACATGCACAAATATGTCAAACCAAGCAGCATTTACTCTAAAGAAAAACAGCACAAGCACACAATTCAAACTAAATATTTCACAAAAGATGTTTGTTATATCATCAGAAGCAAGATCAAATGCATTTGAAGGTATAAATTACAGGTGTCTGTGCTCAGAATGACCTTGAGTTCATTAAATCCATATTTTGCAGCTACTGTACAAACTCCTTCCCCACCAATGCTTTGAGTTTAACAAGGGTTTCAGTTACTGGTGTTTTAATGGTTTGCAGATATCTTGAAACTGACGCTTAATTCTCTGCTGGTAAGCATGTTGCTCTCCGTTGCGGTTGAGGGTACTATTGTCGTCTAATTAGCTTAACCGCCCCCAGAGGATTCTGATTGGACGGCTAAAATTTGCCAAGAATTTAATGGCTTTGAAGCAAGGCTGAAAGACGAGATGTCTGAACACACATAGTCAAACACTTTACCTTCTTCTCATCAAGTTTGTTAAAATGAAGTTTCCTTCATACCTTACAGTGCATTTAACTGCTAAGAAAAACTATAACTAAAACTAAAATATTATTTATTACTTGTTTTTAGGTTCATATACTCTGCCGTTCAAAGGTTTGGGGTCAATACGATTTTTTTCTTATGCTCACCAAGGCTTCAATTGTTTGATTAAAAATACAGTAAAAACAGTAATATTGTGAAATATTTTTACTATTTAAAATAACTGTTTTCTTTTTCAAATATATATTTTAATATAATTTATTCCTGTGATGTAAAGCTGAATTTTCAGCATCATTACTCCAGTCTTCAGTGTCAAGTGATCCTTCAGAAATCATTCTAATACGCTGATTTGACAAGAAACATTTCTTATTATTATAAATGCTGAAAGCAGTTGTGCTAATCAAACATTTTTTTATGAAAACATTCATATATTTTCCATTTCCAGGATTCTTTGCTGAACAGAAAGTTCAAAAGAACAGCATTTATTCGGAATAGAACAACATAAATGTAACATCTTTTGTAACATCATAAATGCCAACTGTAATTTTTTTTATCAATTTAATGCATCCTCGCTCAATAAAAGTGTTAATTTCTTATCTTACTGAGTCCAAACCTTTGACAGGTAGTGTACATTTAAACATGCACATCTTGTAATATTTTGCCATTTTTGTTCACCTTAAAACGACTAAAGAACCATAAAAAAAAATCTCACCCACTCACTGCTGAATCAAACTTAGTGCTGGGCGGTATGACCAAAACTTTATATCACGGTATTTTTCAAAATTATACCGGTTTCACGGTACATGACGGTATTTTTTTTTCATGCATGACCGGGTGTTAACCATATTTTCTACTGATTGAGAGAGGAAATACTGCAGTATATTGACTTAGAATGCCCTATTTTACTGTCATGATGAGTGAATATTGTCAAAAAATACCACACTAAATAGTGACTAAACACGACCCCTTTTAAAACATGTTAACCAGGAGTCACTCTCATTTATAATCGCGGCATCGTCTGATAAAATCAACATGCATCTACACTAAAGAGCGGCTATGCGGTTGTTTTGGCTATATTACTTTTTTTGTCTCATGCAGAGCACTGCCTGCGTCTGAGTAACAAACTAAAAAAAACAACAAACAAAAAAGTGCATGTGATATTAACAGACGAACTACGCTCATATTTATAATCACCAAGCAATCAGTAAGCGGCAGGTGCTTGGAAACACTGTTTTGTACTCATTTATTAATGAGTCGACTGCGAAGCAGCCAACTGAATGCGCTGCTTCTCTGCCGCTCACTGCACAGAACAGACGCCGAGAGAGGTGACACTTCTCTGGGAAAGTCAGACCTCGCGTTCGCGGGACAGCACTGGCGAAATCTTCCAACTGAACCATAGCTAAGGTTTATTCAAAAAAGTCGCTAGGTTTGTCAGTATGAATATTCTATGGAAAAAAGCCGCTAAAAGGGTCTGAAAGTTGCTAAATCTAGTGCTAAAGTCACGCTCGTGTGTGTATGAGACGCGGGAGCTGATGGCAGGGGGCGGTGGATATTTGTGGCGGTCAATGTGGATATTGTGGATGAGTTCTTCTGTGTCATCACGTTCTATTAGTTCTACAGCTTCAGTTTCAGAACTTTCACGCTTAGTAACACATACAGCTGTTCCCTCACCACAGTGCAACAGTGAAAAGGGACCCCTTTCAAACAGTGTCGCGTTCCGAACGTTGTTTAAGTGACATACACCGGTATTGCGGTATTTTAAAAATTTATATCATAACAAAAATAAACACGGTATGAACCGGTATACCGCCCAGCACTAATCAAACTGAAACAAAACTAAAGGATTGCCTTTTGAAATAAGCCTCTATTCTGCTGATTGCTCTGAAAAGAATAGTAATGACAGGTCATTAAGCCTCTTATTAAGAAACCACAACTAGATCCTAGTGAACTGGCTAATTACAGACCCATCTCAAATCTTCCTTTTATGTCTAAAATTTTAGAAAAAGTTGTGTCTGCTCAATTGTGCTCCTGCCTGCAAAAAAATGATCTCTATGAATACAGCACATCTGGTTTTAGATTGCGGTTGGGTATTGAAAAACACGCAGGTTTTGGCACTGAAGTAACTCCACATGTATAACTTTTACTGTTCAGTGAATTCGCCCCCAAGTGTCTTTCTAGCAACTCAAGCTGTTTTACACCTTATAATCTGTTATTTTCTGCTCCAAACAGTCAGAACTATATGGAGTGTCCTTGAGGCTGCAAACACATGAGTCAGAGACAAAGAGCTTTCTCTCCATCTTCCTCTAGGCCCATTTATCCACATCCCGCTGGATGAGTCCTCCAGCTCTCACAAAAATAGCATCTCTTCTCTGTAATTGCTGACAGGTGTCACAGCCCTGCTTCCTGTTTACCACAATACCTGAATACCTCTATAGGGGACGGATGACACATTTAGTACACGCCGAGTGAAATGAACCCAATGAACGCAAGTTCTAGTTAATTTAGTATATTGAGGCTCTGGGAGAGATGGAGAATCATGAGTCATTCTTTCAGAAGAAGGACTGAGAGTGAGATGGGAAGACACGCTAGATGGAATGTTGCATTGTAACAGTTCCAAATCCCTTCTATGAATCGAACTGTTCAATTCAATGAGTCAGTTAAAAAAATGATTCAGCAGCTCTTTGATGGTTGCTGACATCCCCATCTGACATATTACATGCTCTTACAGTCCAATAAAGCCATATGGATGCAAAAATGACAGTTTTTCTCACGAGTTTCAATAATAAGAGTGTTTGTTGTCATTTCATGTATCCCATTTCAGTTGAATAAAATATAAAGTGACTTAAATATAATTTAGTTACACAATTGTTCAAATATTTGGGGGTAGTAAAATGAGTAAAGAACTTAATACTCAGCAAGGATGCACTAAAGTAATCAAAAGTGACAGTAAAGGCATTTATAATGTTTAAAAAAACATTTACAATTTTTTACATTTCTGTCCATCACAAAATCATGAAGAAAAATGTATCACAATATTCAACATTTTTAAACATTGATAATAATCAGAAATGTTTCTTGAGCAGCAAATCAGCATATTAAAATGATTTCTGAAGGATCATGTGACACTGAAGACTGGAGTGATGATGCTGAAAATTCAGCTTTGATCACAGCAATAAATTACATTTTAAAATATATTCACATAGAAAAACCATTATTTTAAATTGTAATAATATTTCCCTTTTTTCTACTGTTTTTACTGCATTTTCTAATAAACGAAGCCTTGGTAAGTATAAGAGTCTTCTTTCAATAACAATATCTTATCGATCCCAAACTTCAGAACAGTTGCGTACGAAAATGTAATTTAATTAAATTACTGTCTTGCTACGGTGAGATGCACGCATGAAGAAGGTAAAGATAGATGCAAATATTTTTTAATAGTCCACAATAGGGCAAACACCGGCTGGACAGGCAGAATGAACATGTAGGAACCAAGTAGACCAAACGACAAACAGTGAACTGAACACAACTTAAATAGGAGGGCTGATGAGGGTAATTAATGACACACACCTGAACCAAATGACAATAATCAGACATGAGGGAAAACTAGGTTACACAGAGCACATGGGGAAGGAAACACAACAAAACAGGTCCTTGAGGTGTGACAATTACATTTATTTAAAATGTTATCAGCTAATAAAGTAACTTATATTTTGCCCCATTAGTCAAAATCTTTGTTTACAAAAATGCTCTTACTATCAGCTCACTCATCAGTTCACGGGTCATTGTGAATCAGACATGTGCAAAAGAGTTTGATGCAGTCGGATTGAAAATTACTCTAGAAAGGGAAAACGTTAGCCGTTATCATTTCCTGTTCATCTTTCACACTGTAATTGGAAGATCAAACGCACTGGTTTATGTAAGAGAATTCCATACTAGATGTACACTTCACATTTTGCCACATTTGGTCATCTGGATATTCCATGCATATACTCTGTATACATATTATACTGTATATACTGTAAATGGGTTAGATAGCCTTTGCTCTCTCTTACCAAACTCTTCGTCATCTTTAGGGTCGTGCAGGGCAATTCGCTCCAAGCATCTCTCCTCCTCACGTTTGATGACGCAGTTGGAGATCTCTGAATGTATGGGCCACATCTGAATCAACAAACAGATAAAACACATAAATAAACCAGAACAGCACAAGAGCAGGACGAATAAACAGCAGCAACAAACAGGATACATTTGCGCCACAAAAACCACCATGTTTCCAATAACAACTTGCCTGCATATAAACAAGATGAAAAATCGACCTGCAAAATCGGTGCTGGTCCCGTCTATTTATCCCTCTGGGGGTAAATAAAAAAACTTTTCACAGACTTTATCTTTAAGTTGTGTTATTTCTGTCTCTGACATCTATAGGGTTTGTTACTGGGTTGCATTGAATGTCCATCGCTGTAAGAGTCCAGCTAAAACTGGTTGTCCTAAAAAAAACACCCTCAGGCTACCCAAGATGTAGATGAATTATTGTAGATGAGAACAGATTTGAAGAAATGTAGCATTCCATCACTTGCTCACAAGTGGAGCTTCTGCAGTGAATGGGTGCCGTCAGAATGAGAGTCCAAACAGCTGATAAAAACATCACAATAATCCACAAGTAATCCACACCACTCCAGTCCATCAGTTAACGTTTTAGAAACAAATTTATCTGTAAGACATGTATGACTTTAAAAGTATCCTCTATCCATAATTTCGATTTCTCCAGTGAAAAAATTCATCTCGTCTGAATCAAAAGAGTAATATACACAGATCAAGCACCGTTTACAAGTGAAAAACAGTTCTAACAATATATTGGTAGATTTTGATGTGTGAAGACAACAGGAGATGGACTTTTTTTTTTACTGGCCAAACGGTTATTATTCATTATGGACTCATATTTTAACCCAAAGCAATGATTTCAAGTTAAAACATCTTAATGATGGATTTGTTTCTTACAAACTTAAGAGCTTTTTTCTTCACAAGATGTTAATAGATGGATTGGAGTGGTGTGAATTGGTTGTGGATTATTGTGATGTTTTTATCAGCTGTTTGGACTCTCATTCTGACGGCACCCATTCACTGCAGAGGATCCACTGGTGAGCAAGTGATGGAATGCTACATTTCTCCAAATCTGTTCTGATGAAGAAACAAACCCATCTGGGCTGCGTTTCTCGATAACGATTGATCTTAGCACTTAAGAGCATTTTCTACGAGTCATTTTACGTTCGTTCGTTATTGTTTCACATGCGTTTCCCAAAAATTCACTTAACGCAATCACACGTAGCCGTGCTTTAAGTGCTACTTAGGAGTCGCTATCCATTTGTCAAGTGCTGAAATGTCACCTTATAGAATGGCTCGTAAGTGTAGTAAACACTCGTTTATTGAAATGTTAACTTAATGCTGCGTTCCAGACAACTCTGATATGATATAATATAATATAATATAATATATTACATTTATACAATAATATTATACTTTACAAAAAAATATACAATATACTTTATACAAAAATGTATATTATAGTATATAATATCTATATAGAGAAGTTATTTCTGGGTCCAATATATTGGTTTTCGTGCACGTCAGTAAGTCATTGAGATATTTTTCCCCCCTGTCTTTGAAGCATATTTCCTACATTACTTCTTTTATTCATTTTTTTTTGGTTCAGTCATTCAATTTAGATGTGCATTTCTATTTTTCCTGCCCTTCTTAATTATTTCATTTATAAATTCATTTAAAAAAACACAAAAAAGCTAGTAATAAAGTGAAGAATAAAGTACAATCAGAACTTTATATTATAATCACATTGCACTTGAATAAAGTTAAAGGTGCGATCTGTCGATTGTCCTGCAGGTGACTGCATAAATCTGTCTTCTTACGATGCACTTAGCGCTTTACGATTACTCCAGAGCACTCGTAGATCTACGATGTTTTTCAAGTGCTACTTAAGTTACGATGCTTTTGGGAAACAGACCGTAATATTAAGATCAGTCGTACGATCGTTTTTACGAACTTCTTAGGCTTACGAAGCTTTTGGGAAACGCAGCCCTGGAAGGCCCGAGGGTTAGTAAAGTTTCAGCACATTTTCATTTTTGGGTCAAACATTCTTTGAATTGCATAGAAATGAGCTGAGGTTTCTAGAACACACTTCTGTTGCCAAATTCTTTTAACATGCACAGATATTAACAACAAATGCGGTGTCAAAAATGCTAAACAATTTTTGTCTGTAGTAGGGTGTGATTTATACAGCACAATTGACGGGGATCAATTTAAATCTATAATAAAGTGCTAAATAATGACATTACGTCATCTACTGTCCATTAATCCTAATGAAAAGCACTTGAGCAGCCAACTGTTGCTATGGTTACCTCCTCCTGCAACTTACTGAAAATACACACTCTGAGTAACTTGTAATCTAATGTTTGTGGTTACTGAAATGTTATGTGAAAGTCCTAAAATGTTGTATGTAAAATGAAGCATGTAATATTTTAGATATATACACTTGACCTCCTTTCATTTTGCCCTCCTTTGGGACATTCAGGCCTAAATTGGAGGGGTCAGGGGTCAGACCTAAAATTCACCAATCTAAAATGATCCTGTCTGCGGTCTGGATTGCATCAAAAATAAAACCTTCCCAGAAACACAAATAATTTAATAAATGATGGTTCCCTTTTTGTTGCTTCTGACCACACAGTGCCATCTGGATTCTGAATTCTACTGTATTTACAGACTCAATTACTAGGTTTTAATTTGACTCAATGTATCTTTATTTTTACTCATTTTATGAATAAACACGTTGGCCTTCAAAAATGAGAAAAAATACACATGCACAACCATTTTTTCTTAGTATGAAGATTTTTTTTGAAACCTAAAATAACCTTTTTTTCCACTATAAAGTCTTTTTTGTGCAACCGAAAGGCTTGGGTTTGAACTCTTCCAAGACCAATTGATCTAATCTATCCATGTTCACTTTATAGCTCTATACTCTGTATATCAATAATTGGCGCATTTGTGTCCATAACTTTAGGAGAAACTTCTGAGACAAAGTTGATATTTCAGGCAAATTACATACATTGTATTTCCTAAACTAAGAGCAACATCTGAGCAATATTTTTCAATGGACTTCTTATGCAAATCATCCAAACCCTCCATTCAGACGGCTTTTCTTTTCATTTTGATTAAAGATAAGATGCCCTTGTTTGTTACCTCACTGTAGGGAAATTACCAAGAACTAACAAGGCCTTTATCACACAACAGTTATCACAAAACCTCAGGATGTTTTTCTTCTTTTAAAAGTCAACCTTTCAGATATGCTTTGAAACTGCCACAGCAAAATCCCCCGAGTTAAATCAACTCTGCTCAGAGTGCATATGGTAATAATAATAACGGTCAATTAACATTGCATGTTCTTGTGTATTTTTATACCGCTAATGCTATTGTGATCTACTGTATTGCAACATTAATTCCATTAGCGGTGATGCATCTTTTCCACAACAGAAAAAGCAACACTGTAACACAAAGAGAAAAGCATCCCATTTTCAGCACCTAATGAATTATAATGACTTAATATGGTTCACAATGTCAAAACGTTACAAGGTCAAAAGCGTGGAATAAAATGGAGGTCATTGCAATACATGCACTTTTTAAAAATCGGATTCATTTTGAGGAATATACAGTGGTTTGTTTTGCATGAATGTGAAGGCAGCATTAACGTGTGCTGTGACTCACTGCATGCCTTCATATTCACTGCAGAAATCTGGATTGATTTACTGATGATGGTGTGAGGCGTTTTTCTGGCTCAAGATGCACGAGTTTGCTTCATGGGGTGCACATCAGTGAACTGGATTATATTTCACCCTAAAAGGACAAAACTGCATAATGTTATTGGCTTTATATAGCCTCTGAACAGCATTAATTAGGAAAATAGTGAGTCAATAATGCAAAATCATAACTATAAACATATAGTCACAATAATATAAGCATACAAAAAAGAAAAACAAAACACATTTTATCTAGAATCTGCTTTTTCAAAGTATTCCAATGGGCTCCAAGATTTAATAAAAAGATAGGGTTTCATTCGAATTTCAAATAATCTTTTCAAGTTTGAGGGCAAAAAGTAGGTCAAAAACCCATTGATGGCAAATTTGGAGGAGATGGCAACTTTCAATTAATTAGTATAAGCCGTCTAGCCAACAGTGTGCAGGATCCATCTCTATAACTGTCAGTTTCGCATTCTCCGGAAGAACCCCAAATAGTGCTGTCAAAGGGTTGGGGTCTACTGCCGTAGTACATTTTTTTGAGAAACACTTAAAAATTCTCCCCTAAAACCTTAATAACTTAGGGCAGGCCCAAAAATAATGAAACAGAGAGGCTGGCTCCCCAACACAGCGCGGGCAGGTGGGGTCCAAAATCTGGAAACATTCTATTAAGTTGTACCCTAGACCAATGAATACGATGCACCACCTTAAATTTAATAAGCCTATGTCTAGAGCTAACCGAAGAAGAGTGTATCCTTTTTAAGACAGCATCCCAAGTTTCATTTTCTAACATAATACCTAAATCCTCCTTCCAATGAGATTTTAATGACCTACTAGATGGGGTTTGTTTGTCATTTATTATACTATAAATCTTTGATATGGCACCCCTAATACGTGTATGCTGATATAAAACACCTTCCAAAACACCACTAGGAGGAGCAGAGGGGAACTCTGAAAAATGTTTAAGGGCAAAGTGCTAAATGATTCCAGTATTAAAAGTACTCGAGTAATTGAGACCAGAGGGTTAGACATAAATAAAATAAGATCATCAGTATATAACGAAACCTTCTTTTCTATGCCAGCACGAAAAATCCTCTGCACCTCAGAATCAGTAGTGCAATTGCCAAGGGGTTCAATAGCAATAGCAAATAAAAGTGGGGAAGGGGGGCACCCCTGCCTTGTGCCCCGATTCAGTGGAAAAGGATCTGAAATAATATTATTTGTGTCACGGTGCGTGAGGGGAGATGAAGCGAGGACTCAATCGCTGGAGAAAGGGTATTTTATTTTAGTAAAAAATTAAACAAAAACAAACTCAAACCACCCCGAGGGGGAAAAACAGACAGGCAGAGCTAAAGCTGCACACATGCAGACACGAAACACACACAATGAGAAATGACGGATCAGCACAGGACGGCAGACACAAGGAGAATAAATAGGAACCAAACGAGG